CAGGGCCGCATCAAAGTACTCGAAGAATTGAGACTTTAAATCCGGACGTATAGAGACCTGTAGTGTGATGCATATTTGATACAGCGCTTCCGATTGTTGACACAGTCCTGGTAGTCGTACTTTGAGTGGTATTTCACCGTCGTGCATAGTTGTTGAGTGAAGGACATTGATGCCAGATGAGAGGACTATCGATATTAGATGATTTTACAGTCGGTAGTGTTCTTCTATCACGCTCACAGTCACTGAACAATTCTGCATAATGAGTCGGCTTCCAAGTCTCGGATAGTAATGGGCTGAGTAGCAACTCTAGTTCAGTGGAGTCAACAATCATCACGACGAGACGAGAGGCTACTACATCCTACCTTCAGTTCCCTCTCCTAAGATCCCAGATCCGGAAGATTCACGCACTTGATCAGCTACCTGCAACTGCCGCTTCCTCTCCCGAAGCAGATCTCTCTGTCGTCCTTGAAGCCTCGGCGGAATTGACGACTCGGCAGGCGCATCGGCGCCGGTAAATCTCCCTCGCGAGGCAATTCCGGTTCCCCAGCGGAGACGAACATCGTAACCCTCACATGCCACTCCGCGTTCAGCACAAACCTGACATGTCGGGCGCGCACGATCACACTTTCGCCGGCGGGCTTTGCAGGTCCAGCTGGACGGTAGAGTCAGTTTCACGGAATGTGGAGAAAAGTCAAAGATCGGGAGTGATCCTACCATCCCTGGTGGGTTCGGCGACCGGGGGTCGACATTCCTATTTTGAGTGGTGATCGGATAGTGATGAAGAACTTCGCATGCGAGCAGCGGATAGGAATTAGCTTTAAGCACAGATGCGGGGAAGATAACCGGACAGCAATCCACACTCGTCTTTAATTAGGTTTGGGGGTCGACCTGCCAATTCGAGTGTAGCTTGGAGATAGCTGACCTCTGGAGCTACCGTCTGGGGTCCGATAAGAAAAGCCGAGGTTCGGATATGCCCATAGAAGATGTCTCTGGTCCCTATGGCAGAATGCATATACCACGGTCAATTGACTGGCCCTATAATCTTATTCGGCATTGATTATAATCTTCAAATTAAGTGTCAACATGTCTTTTCATCCTCCTACTACCAAATGCACGACAGAAATTCCCACCCTTGGCCAACTTGAGGGTTTTCAATTTGCGAATGGTGTCCAACAATACTGTGGAATACCATATGCTGACCTGCCTAAACGGTGGACAAGATCGACTCTTAAGACTTCTTGGGCAGGCTCTAAACATGATGGAACAAAATTGGGGTAAAACTCTCTATATCTCATGTTCGCCGCATATGAACTAAAGCGCATACAGCAACGACTGTCCTCGGCCCTACTCCGAAGGCGACGACAGCGATGACCTCGTCCCAGTGCCACCACCTGCTCACTTCCCGGATACTCCGAAAACAGACGAACCAACTGGGCTTGTGATGAACATCGCTATTCCCTTCGCCCCAGCCTCCGACAGGCAAAGTCTTCCCGTCATGGTATACGTCCACGGAGGCTCCCTACTCTACGGAGGCGCTAATCTTCCCATCTTCGACGCTGTCAATCTCGTTTCACAGAGTATTGAGATGGGGAAGCCGATCATATGTGTAAATTTCAATTACCGCGTTGGACTCGGCGGCTTTCTCGCGAGCGACGCAATACGCCGTGAAATGCGAGATGACGGGTTCCAAGGCTGTGGGAACTTCGGCTTCACTGATCAGAAAGTTGCATTCGACTGGGTTCAACGGTATATCGCGACCCTCGGTGGAGATCCCGATAATGTCACTGCAGTGGGGGAGTCTGCCGGTGGGATATCGATCAGCAACCAGCTTACAGCTACTCATCCACCGAGATTCCGGCGCGCCGTCTGTATGTCTGGACTTTCTGTCTCCATTCCTCCTTGGACTATGGAGCAACACGAGGCTCTTTTTCAGGCCGTTTGTCGGTATTTCAAGATAGACGCTTCACAACCCGATGTATTGGATTGGCTCCGGCAGATTCCGCAGCAGGAAATGGCGAATGCGACCCCGGCCATCCAAGGCGTCCTTTCGGGTACAGGGAACCCTTGTCTCGATGGATGGTTCTATCAGACTGATCCCTGCGAGATACAGAAGGCACCAACATGGCTGGAAGCCTTGATGATTGGGGATACATACCATGAGGGAGTCATTTTCCATCTAAATCTTCTCGACGACGATTTTGCTTCCATTCGCCGGATATTGTTAGATCATATCAACAATGACGACGAGACGGATCAAATCCTGAGGGAATATGACATACACCAGGCGCTTTCACATGACATGCTTCTCGAGCGCGTGGAACACATGTGCGGAGACGCGGTTTTCAAAATTCCCAACTACGCTACTGCGCTAGAAAACACTATGCTTCGCGAGAAGGGTGGTCTATTCCTGTACCATTTTGATCAGCGTTCTCGCCTTAAGAATCCGCTGGAGGGGACGGCCTACCATGCCCATGAGCTATTGTATCTTTACAAAAACCTCGAGACAGAGATGGATGAGAGCGAAAGAGGAATGGCGGAAGGGTTTGCTGCTGCTTGGATTAGATTTTGCAATGGAGAGGCGCCATGGTCAGCACGCAAGGGAGAGTGGAAAGTATGGGGACCAGGCAGTGTTCAGTCTGTTAAGAACGAGGAAGAAGATGAAGAGGCCAGATCATATCAGCGGATGAAGCGTATTCTGGCCATGGGTAACGGAGAGACTTGGAAACGATGGCTTGCTGGGGTAGATGTGCTGGTTAATAAGAGGATGAATATGGGGAAGATAGCATAATATTTCTAACATACTATTTGACAACAGTAGACAAGAATACCTGTTGTTCTTGGAATATCACATTATCAGAAGCTCTGAATCAATCACCAAGCGCATTTCTAATCCATCTCTACCTATTGTACTACAAGTGTGAGCGCTCTTGCACATGACGCATCAGAACAGCCTTCTTGACCCTATCTTCCGTCACTAACATTTGCTCTGGAAACCATGAAAGATCCGTGGACTCAGTCTCGAGCAACGTCTCATCATTGATCAGCAACATCGTCGCCAAAGCTTTTCCGCACAGCCATGCCAGCACCATCCCCTCCCCTGAAAAAGCAGCAGATACCCATTCAGCACCCTGTCCTTCATTATGAGGTCCCCGCTGGGTTGTCGAGACAGGAAGCCGTCCTACCCAGGGAAGTCCATCTGCACTAAAACCCATATTTCCCGTCCACATCTGCTCCACGCTCTGTCGGGCAACTTTGCCCCAATTTTGACGGCCAAACACCGCACTTAGCGCACCCGATAGATGAATATCAGCATACAGACTGATTTCTGAGTCTGTTGCGACGCCCATATCGGCAATCCCACCTCCCCCTCCCTGAGCAAAACCCCCACCGAACATCATCATCTGTCCGGCCTCTGATTGCGGCAACTGGGTGAGATAGTCGAATCCACGATCGTAGTTGAAGATCCAGGAGTGCTCTTCTCCCTGACACCGGAAGTTCTGTCCCGGGTGTTGCGCCGACATCTGTCCACGTATAGGATAAATGCGACCTCTCAAACCAGGTACGAGGTGGCCAACATGAGCATTTGTACAATGAATGACATGACGAGTGCGAATAACGCCCCTGAACGTAGATACGAGGTATCGCAAACGCGAATTACCTTCCTCACTCACGTCCACCTCGATACCGGTCACAGGCGTATTCGTCTCAATCAGCAGATCTCGCGGGAACTCTTCCTTCAACTGGCCCAAAACACCAGTGACAAATCTATAAGGCCAAATGGCCCCTCCCGGGCCAGCAACAATCCCCAGCGCACGAGGAAGACAAAATTCCTCTGGAATCTCCTTTCTTTCATACATCTTCCACTCCTTCGTCTCGTCGGGCAACCCCGCCTTCAGCCGGCGTACCCGCTCCCGGGCATCTTCCCACCCATCCTCATCAAAATAAACGCTTAGAAATTGTACCCTTCGCGCTTGACAGTGCTCAGTAAGTCCATACTCCTCCGCGGTATCAAGCATCTCGCGTAAATGCGCTAAGCGAAATTTCATGATTTTCTTCGCTGCGTCAGTGCTGTGCATATCCTCAAGATCGGCGTATTCCTCCGCCGTCTCAAGAATATGTCCGCCATTTCGGCCGGTCGCACCACTGCAAACGTCGCGTGCTTCGAGGATGACCACAGCTGGTCTATTGCTGTCATTCTGGCTCTTCTCCTCCTTTCGGGATTTGAGAAGCGTCCTTGCGATAGAAGTTCCGGTTACTCCAGAGCCAATGATCACGACGTCCGCTTCTGAGGGTAGAGTCGCGGACTGGGCTTTTGCCAGGTCAGGGTGTGGAGAGCGCAACCAAAAGGATGATGTAGGGGTTGATGAGGGAAGACCTGGGTCGGCAAAGGCTCTGTCGAGGGCTTTTTGGCGGTCTTTAGCTGGGATTGCTGGATTAGAGAGTTGAGCTTGCACGAAGGCCATGATGGAACGCGATGATGCGGTGCTGTACTTGGTCTGGATATGATTGCAGTGGATTAATCGTGCTCCTCTTCAACGAAGCGGGGTCATCTACGGTAGATTGTATCGATCGTAGTAAGGCAGGATTGGCTTCTTAGCCTTCAAATCGGACTCCGCGGAGAGCGATGACTTCCTTGATAGCGCAAGGAGTTTGCAATCTGTCGCATGGACTTGATGGTTATGGTTAGAGAAAATTTTGTTCCGGAAGGTTGAACCGAAGGCTATCTTTGGCTATGATTCTCATTCTCGGGTATCTTGCAGCCTGCTTAATTGTCTTATCGAGGGTCGACCTACCAATTAGGGTAATAAGCTATCTAAACCCCACTATGAGGAAGCCCTGCGGGGTAAACACGGCAGCTGTTTTGTATTCAACAGGCTAGAAAATTAGTTATAAGTATCCCTGAGCAGAGGTTTGATACCATATCATCGTCAGCATTATAGAGATACCATTAATACACTAACTATAAGATTCATAGTACTCTATTGCATCACACTACCACAATGACTGCCAAATTCGCCGACTCCCCGGGAAACATCTACTATCCAAAGAGCCCCTCGATGCGTCGCCCAGGTCTAACATTCCTTTATCGACTTGAATGCACCATCGCCGCAGAAGAAATCAACGTTGGGGCACCCCACGGCGCAGGCATCATTCGCAGCATCGCAAACATTACTGGAGGTACCTTCAAAGGGCCAGAATTTGAAGGGACAATCCTCCCATTGGGAGGCGCAGACTGGGCAACAGTCATTGAGGGAACACACGTGAGTTCCTCCATCATTCCTGTATTATCTAAAGAATTAACTAACAAAACCAGTCCATGACCCTCGACGCCAGATACACTATCAAAACGACAGATGGTCACCACCTCTTTGTTCAGGCGCATGGGCTCTACCGTCCTGGACCGGGAACAGAATACGCGAAGCAGGTCGCGGATGATCCGGCGATGAGGCCTCCGCCCACCGTTACTCAGGATGATGTTGAATTTTTCTCCCATCTGCGAATCGAAGCGGGTGCAGGCAAATACAACTGGTTGAATGGGTTGGTTTGCGTTGGAGTGATGAGTTGCGAGAACGATAGGATTATTATTGATGCGTATTATTTGACGAACTTTGGGGGTGTGAGGCCGGATGATGTTGTTGTTAAGTAGTCATCTCTTTAATAAATTTGAATACTGCTTAATGGTGTTATCTCGAGTAATTCCAAAATCTATAAGACGACAGTATAGTTCTATTTGCTCCTTCAGTTCTGATCAGTATTATTGGCGGCACATGTCCCGAGGTTGATACCCCCGTCCTCATAATGGTAACCGATATTTAGAGCCGGATATGTCTGTATACGTCAGTGCGTCAAACTAGCCTATTCAGGAAGGTCGACGCACTTGTTCTGGGTTACCCTACACAATGGGTTGTTTCAATACTAGTCATGTTAACGACGTCCAAAGTGGAGTAACAGATATCTAGACTGAGGGGTTACAGATAACCATCCCCGCACTATATAACTCTAGGCTACATCAAGTACAATAACGCACATACATCAATCACAAGATGACCCAAACAACTTCTACAACAGACGACTGGCGCACCCTCGTGGCCCGAAAGCGCAAACAACTAAACGCACAAATTCCTTCCGAATGGCGTCTAACTGAGAAGTTTCTTGCAACAATCCCCGCCGACGGCCGCCTCATTGAAGCCGATGTCGTCCGTGGCAGTGGTATCTTGTCTGAGAAGGAGCTCAGTATTACAGAAAAATATTCCGCGACTAAGCTTCTAGCGGAGCTATCAAAAGGAGCTGTAAGCTCCGTTGAGGTGACAACTGCGTTCTGCAAGAGGGCAGCTATTGCCCAGCAGCTTGTATGTTTCTCCATTCTGAACATACCTAGTCTGTTTCGGATATTTTATTGATATAATATAGACCTCATGTTTGACCGAGCATTTCTTCCAACGGGCTATTGAGCGTGCTCAGTTCCTGGACGAATACCTCCAGCGAGAGAAGAAACCGTTCGGACCTCTGCACGGCCTTCCTATCAGCATCAAAGATAGTTTCTGCGTCGATGGAGTTCAGAGCACTGTCGGATATGTCAAGTTCCTTGAAAACAGCCCAGCTGCACACAACTCAGCCATCGTCGAAATGCTATTGAATCTCGGTGCTGTGCTTTACGTTAAGACAAATATCCCACAGACGATGATGGTCAGTTACCACCATTTCCTCTTCACTATCATCAACACTGACAGGACTTTAGACAGGAGACTCGGAGAATAACATCTTCGGTCGAGCCCTGAACCCCCACAACACGAACTTGACTGCCGGCGGCTCAAGCGGAGGAGAAGGAGCTCTAGTGGCATTCCGCGGCTCAATCCTAGGAATCGGCACAGACATTGCAGGATCGATCCGCATCCCATCCCTCTGCTGCGGTGTGTATGGCTTCAAACCTAGCATTGACCGCATTCCATGGGGCGGCCAAGTAGCCGATATAGCCATGGAGGGAACTCCCGGTCTTAAGCCATCTGCTGGACCACTTGCTCATAGCCTGAATGATATCGAACTATTTATGTCGACCATCATAACCGCCGAGCCCTGGAAATATGACAGTACCACAAGCGCAGCACCCTGGTCATATCCAAAAGCCTCAACTGATGAGCCCAGGCAACTAACCATCGGTATCCTCCCCGAGAGCAAGGACTTTCCCCTCCATCCACCCGTTAAAAGAGCACTGCAGACCGCCATATCCGCTCTGAAAACCAAAGGTCATCGTATAGTTTACCTTTCAGAAAACCCCGGTATTGACTTCGCATTTGCGAACCGTCTCGCCTTCCAATATTTCATCTACGGCCCACACACCGACCACATCGCAGCCAGCGGCGAATCACCCGTGGCATCTGTAGCAAAGATGTCTTCACCCATGTTCACGGGTCCATTCCCAGTAGACATGGAGTTACCGCCGTTCGAGAAGATAGACGCATTGCACAAGGCGCGCAAAGCATATGCCGAGGCGTGGAGAAAGACATGGGTTGAAAATAATCTAGATGTCCTTCTTGCGCCCGGGGCGCAGAATACGGCTGTTCCACATGATACATTTGGATGGCCGCCGTATACCGTGGTTTGGAACTTGCTTGATGTGAGTGTACCCTTATATCTCTTAGACAGTTTGGAGGACCGTGTGACTAATGATATTGTAGTACCCTGCTTGCATAATTCCATATGGCAAGGCTTCGAAGAGGCTTGATCCTGAGCCCATGGCTATTACTGATGGGGTTCAGCCTAGTTGTGAGTCATATATTCATCGAGAATGGCTCCACTGTGAGTATGTGTCAGCTAATTGTTGATGTCCAGATGACCCAGATGCTGTTGATAGAGCTCCATGCGCGATCCAGATTATTGCACCTCGGTTTCAGGATGAGAAGTGTCTTTCAGCTGCGAGAGTTATTGATCGGGATATTCGATAATAGAGCTAGCATATTGTCTTATAGTTTATTAGATTCTTTTGCCGACTTCCTATTCATACTCCAAGGTCTAATCCAGGTTATATCATGCCCATGCGCTAACCAGTAGACCCAAGATCTATCGCATCCATCAGGTCAGCCTACAGAGACATGATCAACATATTACTACTACCTATGATCAAGGACAGTAATCGCCCATAATAAACTGCTTTTATTTCTATTCGAACAAATAAACTCTATCACTCTATAAAAAAAAAACCTGCAAGTAGTCTAAAGCATATATCTGAAAGTAGGGGACTTATCCCCCATCTCACCAAGTTCCTGTGCCGAATATTCCGGCCGAAGCTCCACCAACTTATCCACGCGCTGTCGGTTGATGCGCACATATGCAAACCTCGTAATCACGATAGCCACCACGCCCATGATTCCAAAGGCAAGTTCCAGCGCATGGCCCATGATATATTGTGGGGAGTCGCGTGTGCGATAGAAATGAGAAGCCATGGCTAATATTTATTAGCACGTTCTGCCTAAAGGTCTTCATTAATGGGAAAGGGGGTATTTACCTCCTGCAAAGTTCCCAATGCCAATGTGTATCGCCATTCCTGCTGCTCGCTTATGTTCCGCGGCGAGATTGCTGCTTAGCCATGTTATGAGGGCGGGAATAGCGGGGTAGATTCCTTTTACTCATTAGAGTGGTAGACAATATGTGTGGGTTCACATGGGGGCTTACCTAGGATCGCAAGGAACACCCCAAAGTATACAAGTCCCGGGACCCATCTTTGCGATCCTGCCAGACAGACGAAAAATCCGGCGACGATGCAACCGATGTGAAATAGGAGAAGGGGCGAGCGCTCGCCATTGCGGTCAGCGAAATATGCTGCTAGAATGGCAGCCATGGAAGCTATGATGTACGGAGGTACCTAATCAGTCAGTCACGATACACGTTGCGGCTGTTGATGTCCAGGGCCATTACTGTAAGAAGCTGCGCAGTAGACGACGTATATCCGAGATCGCGGATTATGGTGGGTAGGAAGAACGAGATCCCGTATAGCGGACAGACGGCGGAGAAGTATACTGGATATGATTAGCAGAGGTCTCACCGCGGCCTGATGGAGGAGCATACTGAGAATGGCCATATAGACCTGCCAATCCTTGGCCGCATCCCACACATACTTCCACTTGAAGTCACCGGCCTCGGGAACCACATTGCCATTGTTGGAGAATTGTAGACTCAAGCGGCGCAGAATCCAAGCTCGTTCGTCTCGGGTCAGGAAGGATGCCGTATCAGGGTAGTCGTAGAGAAAGAAGTATGACATGACAGCCACGACAACTGTTGCGAGCCCTTCGATGATGAAGATCCAGCGCCAGCCGGAGTACCCGCCAACGCCGTTCATTTTCTGACTTGTTAGAATTGCACAGCAGATAAAGTTCCGGAACTTACACCGATCGCAAATGCAAGTAACCCCGAAAAGGCACCCGCAATACTCGCCGCGCTGAAGCATAAGGCTTGGCGGAACTGGGCTTCATGACGAGAGTACCACATCGTGATATAATAGGCCACCCCGGGATATATGCCCGCTTCTTCATGATGTTAGGATAGATCATTTCTGGTAGTTGGAGAAGATCTTACCTGTGGCACCGAGGAATATCCTCGCTATCAGAAGACCGTGATAGTTGGTCACGATACCCATTAGAGTCTACGGACAATTAGATTCGTACTAGCTCGGCGAACGGGAACGAACCATCACCGTCCCCCACGCCACCATCAGTGACGGGATCCATATTGAGGGCCTGACTTTCTGCAAAATAAGGTTCGATGGTAGCTCAAACACGGTGTATGTGAAGAAAAAGACGGTCACTAAACAATCAGAAATCCATCAACAATATGGTCGGCGCTACCTACGTGCCCAGTTGTACTGTGTCCCTCCGAGATGCAGATCTTCCTCCATGCCTTCAATTCTGGCGTTTCCGATATTACCCCGATCAAGGAATGAGAAGAGGTATAGGAGGGTTAACATCGGCATGAGACGGAGGTCCATCTTGCGCAGGAGCTTTCGCTCGTCGATGTGGTCGAGATTACCCTCGACATGATTGATGTCGCGGCATACTGTTTGGATTCCATTGCGTCGCTTGGACTGTTTCTCGGTCCTCATGTCGAGGTCGGACAACTGAGGTGCTTGCCTTGTGAAGCCACGGAGGTTCCTTGATGGCTTTGAGCCGTTGAAGGTCTCATGGGACAGCCCATGAGTTTTGATTGATGCAGGTCTATTATTGTGGCTGAGGAACTATGTAAGGGGCTAGGGAATGTGGGCAAGAAGATCATTATTCCATTCGTTCCTCACAGAAAGCTTCCGGCGATAGGTTAATTTCTTCAACGGGAATCATTTTTGCATTGGATATTCCGTATGCATGGGTTCGTACCCGCCATCCTAAATGCTAAGAGTAAATCATATGCCCAAGGCAAAGGCAGCAATAATGCATGGGTGAGTATGGTCATCATTTAGAAGTGAGACAAGTTACGTCTCCTCTGGTATCTCAGAAGGCAAATAGAGTGTTATGATCTGCGAGTAATGTTTGCTGATCGGCCGATCTTCCAGCGAGAGCTAAATGCATCTTTGCAATGGAAAAAGCTCATTACCGTTCATGATCCGAAGTTTAGCATCTGATGTACTTCAATGCCTATGAGACTTTATCGGTTCAACACTAATTATTGTCCATGTGCCAATGGGCAGTGCTCAATTATTAGTGGACACCTTGTGATTAGAGACTGATCAGCGTTCATTAGCGTTGCCTAGTATGGGCAGGGATTGATGACATATGAGATAATCCAGTCCCGATCAGTAGGGTAAGACAATGATCGTCCTTGCATCGAACCTTGCATATACTGATCGGGAGTGTCAAATGAGACCATTAGGGGCCGGGTGGCTGGCTATGGTCTACCAACCTTGACGTGTGTAGGTGAAATGAGCACATCGTAATCCCAGGTGTTGTGATCGCCTTACCTTTTCAGTAATGGTGGGAGGGAGTTGGGATACCGGGAGCTCCCATCATGCAAGGCTTTATTGGAAGCAGACGATGCAATCTGTGATGATGACAGACAGTCAAATGAAAGCATCAATCGCATCGACGTGAGCCTATAGACGAGTGAGCATTTTTGGTCGTGTTCGTGACTCATAATTAGGTCCTATTTCAGTATAAGTCTTCATACGTATATCCCAACGGATCGCGTAAGGTGCACTTTACGAAACGTACAATCCTATCCGTCATGTTGACAGAATTACAAAAGTACATACATGATGTCTCGATAATCAAGGAAGGAAAACGGACGAGAGTGAAATAGCAAGGTTGATGATTGACCTGGAGACGGTTTTTGTGTCATCCTGTCATCTCCCAGTCATGAAGCGCGTTAAGGGCCGTGCCCCCAAATCATTGACCGCCAGTTCGTGATGGGAGGCGCGATAAGATAGCAAGCCCCACCGCGGACCGAATACCAATGCGCTGGGATTTAGATTTTGTTCGATCCAGAACCCCTCCGCTTTGTCTGTTTGCCACCATTCCACAACCAATCGGTATTCTGACCAGAAACCATGACGAATTGCTAGAGCCCGCTTCATTCAAGCTTCTATCCACCAGAGGCCATGTCTGCGCGGAAGGGCCCTTCGCCCAGCCAGCCCACCAGTCTTGGCCCACCAGAGGCCGCGATTGCCGGGCGAACCGCCGGGAAGGTTCTGATTCCCCGGGATCGATCGAGGATCGTGGCTAGCCCTCAGATACGTACTTCTCGTGCTTGTGATCTTTGTCGGCAGCGCAAGGCCAAATGCAATGGGGGGAAACCGACATGTACCCAGTGCGAGAAGTTCGGGATCGAATGCAGGTACTCAGAGCAAAAGCGGACCCAGGAGAAAAGAGAACTTGACATGTTACGGGCAGCGATTAAGCGGCACGAGCGGATGCTGCAACTTATGTCGCTTCGCCCGTCTGGCGCTGCAGTTTCCACCAGTGGAGAGGGTCCATATGTGAGCTTCATTATTATACCACTGATCCCTGTCACTGACGACTAGCTACTAATCCAGTCATGTAGGTTGTGGCTTTGCCGCAAACAGAAGGGCTAGCTACCCAGCAAACGCTGTCTGGGAGCCTGGACCGCACGATGGAGCTTCTGCAAACCCAACTTCGTGAGCTGCATTATGTGTATCAAAATGTCCACGATTGTGACCCCACAATTCTTCCGGCTGTGGTGGACACGATCCGCAGGAGTTCCTCGGTGCACGAGGCAGCCAGTCTTCTGAGTCGGCAGATGACATCACAATCCCCGGGTATGACCCTGGAGAGAATGCAGAGGTCGTGGCTGACACGGCTATCGGGGAAACCGGAGCTGGTGAACCGAATACCCCCGTACAGCGTGAATTCTGCAGAGCGCTGGACGGCAATTGCAGATAACGCGGCCACTTCGCATCTCTTTTCTTTGTTCTTCGTTTGGGATAACCCAACATGGCATATTGTTGATCCAGTGTCATTCCTGAGTGATTTCCAGCGTGGAGGGACACACTTCTGCTCGTCGCTCTTAGTCCATACTATACTTTTCTATGCGTGTGTACGTATCCCATCCTCTTTATAACCGAGCTGACGGACTAGCACCTTTCATACGATTTTGAAAAGCCATGGGACCGGCGCATGGAGATGTCTACCGCCAGACGACTTCTGCGGGAGGTGGAATGCCTGTGGCAGTGCGATAAGATGAATATCTCTATTCCCACCATGCAATCTGCCCTTCTGTTAGGGTTATTCTTCTGTGCTTCTGGAAAAGACAAGATCGGTGTTCAGTATATCCGGTATGGCGCACAAATGGGGTTGCGGCTGGGCTTGCATACCTCGTCGCCTGAGACAGTCCAAACCAATCCAGCAGAGACAGCTCGCATTAGGCGAGCTCATAAACTCATAGCTAGTGCGGTCTATGAGGTGCAAACGTAAGTCACTAAAGAACAATATGCAAAGCAGTCACTGATTCAATAGTCTGTCTTTGCAATTGGCAAGGATACCGTCAGTATGGCCTGGGCCGTCTGAGCTTTTCTTATCTGAAGAAGAGGCAACGGCGGCAGATGTCAATCAGCAGTGGTCCCCATACCCATTTACCTATCCTGTTTACAAGCCCTTCTTCCACACGGGCCTATGGAGCAGGCGGGACCTATTTGTCATTATTAATGATGTGGCGGATTTGCAGCGGCAGCTCAGTAGACAAGTAGATCTCTCTGGATGGCAGCATGGTGCTGTACTGTATCAGAGACTTGTGAGCCTCGAGAGGAATCTTCCTGCTGTCCTAGGGGTACAGCGGAATAGGACTCCCCACAATCTGTGTTTTCAGTGAGTGGTCCGAATGCACTCACGGCTCCATGCTAACAAAAGAAGCATGTATTACCACATCACAACAGTCAACCTCTGCGGGATCTTCGTGACCCGTAATAGCACCGGACTGACAGAGGAGTTGATACGATCCACTAAGTTCGATCCACAGAGAGTACTAAGCGAAGCTATGGACTCGATTGCGACATTAATATTGCTCTATCGGGTGTGCCATGGCTGGAAGTCTGTCCCAGTAATGATGGTTCACTACTTTATGGTGGCAGGTGTACACGCAGCCTCGCACCTGGAGTCGTCAAAGTGGCGCGAAGTGTTGGTCAGCTGTGTCTCTGGTCTCTGGCATATGGGCCTGGTTTGGAGGGTCTGTCGACCGTTCCTGCGGACCATCCAGCTAGTACTCCAAAGCAAGGACGAGGCCTTAATTCCCATCGAAGCAGTGTCGATATTGAAGGAATTCAACGAGAAGGTGTGGAATCAGAACGAGGTAAACGCGCTGGCCGCCAACTACGTGGTGCAACACCATCCCACTCAGACACTTGCGCTGGACCACGACAGAAGTTTCCAGGGGAAAGGCCTCGAGAGCTTGATACGAGATTTCGAGAAACTGAGCACAGATGATTAAGACGAGGAAGGATGAAGACAGGGGGAGAATGAGAAGCGGAGGAAAAGTACCGGTCTGTATACGGATGACTGTAAAATAATGTTTTTTATGTTTGACGATACGATGCAATACACGAGCTATGAGAATATACGACTCAGACAGCAATATACCCTGTGACCTTACCACTTCCGTAAACTCGATTCCTGCGCTTTTAGTCTAGAATGGTGTATTTGAGCCCAGCTCTTCCATGTACAACACAGCCGTCCCATATATACAAGTAGTTCTATCATTTACATCCTCCACCCTATCCACCGAACAGCCGTCACTACGAAACCTCGATCAACTCGTCACCTACCCTCCTCGTCCACTCCATCCAGCTACCATCATACACCCTTCTGGGTCCCTTCGCCCCAACCAACCTCAAAGCTAGATCTAATGATGCAGCCGTAACCCCCGAATTGCACGTCAGGATGTACGGCACTCCCTCACCTTCTTCCGCCAACGCGCCAGCATCCGTCAAAACATCCCTCAGTTCTTTAGGAGCTAGTATCACGCCGGTCTCGTCCTCCAACAGGCTCGCCAATGGCACATTGACTGCTCCAGGGATGTGCCCAGACCTCAAACTTGGATCCATTTCGGGCTGCACACCTTGAAACCGACCAGGTATCCTCGCATCGACAATTCTCACCTTCTCCTGGTTTCTCCCAAGAACAACGTCCTTTACCTCCTCAAACGCTATTACCCTTCCGGTATCAGAATCCCTCTCTTCCACAACATACTCATCGCCCTGCTCTCCTCTCGTCCCAATCACTGGGACCTCTATTCCCGCAGACCCGGAATCTACGGGCAGCCGCATCTGCACATACCGCCTGAAGTTATTCAAGACATGCACATCCTTATGCCCAAAGATCTCACACATAAACGCCAGACGCGGGGCATGGTACGTGCCTATCTCGTCTGCATCGTAAATCACTAGAATATCATCCTTGCGAATACCGAGGGCAGTCATTGCAGCGGCGAAGAGGGAAGGTGAGGGAAGCATGGAAGGGTAGGGAGAGGTGGTGTCACGAATTTGGTCGAGGTTGAAGAACCTAATTGCCAATAAATATCTATTAGTATGTGGTGGTGGGGTATATAGGGAGCGCGGAGACGGAGTACTTTGAGCCTGGAAGGTGGAAGGATTCGAAGGACGAGTGGAGCGTGGGACGGTAGGCCGCTAAGGGGACAATTCGCCTAGGCTCGGTGGCATTGCATACTGCCGCATTGTCATAGTATTCGGCTGGAGTTATGAGAGGAGATTTGAAGGGGTTCATTGTTCGAGGTTGGAGAGTTGTCGATGGTGAGCGATGAGGGGAGGAGACATGAGGGGGATTGCCGTTATCGGGATATCAACTTAACCTATTCATTATGCAGTTATGCATATTTGTCAGCTATGCACTCAGGTACCGACACCGGTCGGATAGCAAGAGAAAGAGTGCGAGGTATGAGCTGATGAGGCAGTACTATAAGATACTGCTAGTGTTCTAGCTTTGGAACATAGTTTCGGTGAACCCCATTGTAGTGGTACGAGGTTTCCAAGTTGTTTTGCGATACCAACGATCGAGCATTTGACGTAGTACTACTACTACTTGTTGTAGGTAGTATGTCATCATGTGGATATATATTTCTGAGAATTAAAGATGGAGGACTCGATCACGTAGGGTTATCATTACTATCATACTCATTGTAGCACCTACTAGTTATACTATATATGTCTAAGTCACAATGGAGAAAAAAGAATTGGAGAGAAATAAAACTGAGGTGAGCAAAAAGTTTGAAGTGAAAAGGGGTGGGAGAAAAAAGAAAGGTCGTGCCCGGGATCGAACCGGGGTTGCCGGAAATCTGGTAAGATTCAAAATCCGGAGTGATAACCCCTACACTACACAACCAGGTGCTTGTGAAAAGTGAATTTGTTGATGGTATATAAGTGCCTTTAGATTGCAAAGCGAATTGTAACTGCCTTGGAATTCGACAAAACAATTGACCACACCAGCTGTGATGAACCACATCTACCAAATCCACAAGGCTATCCCTACGGTTAGAGAATCCTCCGCTATGCGAAGACAACATTTGATTCTTTTTTTAGTCGACATCCCGAAAGGCTCAACACATCCAGGTGCCCTCTAAACTGATGATTTGGCCAAGAATTACACCGAAAGGGCTAATAAAATTGTGGTGGTTATGGCTTTGATCTTGTACAGGCTCGGTGTCGACTCATATTGAATGTGTTTGGTTGTGCCTGAAAAAACACTCCGATGACGGCATTCCTTCGGGCCCAACAGCACAGCTGAGAGTGGCAATCCTTGACTGTTTAGGATAGGCAGTCAGCGCCGTCGATCCGCGCAATCTTGGGGCCAGATGGTGAGTTAACCTCACACATGACGGAATCTAGCTGGATTTAGGACGGAATAACTGCTTGATTATGCAGAGAACGCCGCACTCCCCGTAATATCGTGCTGTCCAAGCCCATTTACCTTGCATTTGAGTGTATATTGTGTATGTGTTTATCTGGGTAACATGCCCTTAAGGCTGCTGTGCCTGGTCCCTGGAGTATCCACATCCAGCCGCACTCCACTCACGCCAACAAATGGCCCTAAACCGCCCGGTCGATGGCTTTAATGACGTACTTACCAGGATTTAAGCAGCCCCCATTCTACCAGGACAGTCAGGTCCACTGTCCCTGAGCCACAACAATCTGCATCATATGGTGTTTGGCTTGCATAAAGCCAAGCACCCGGCCTAGAAGCTAGTGATGTAATCATGCACATACAGGATCTGGATGATCTCGCAGCAGGCGGATATATCTTACCGTGGCTTCCCTCCTAATCACGATGGTCGTAGCAATCCAGCACCTGCCACTTTTATCCGAGCCCAATTGACAGTTGCAGCCCGGGGGCTTCATCTCGGTCTTTCATCATGAGGTTTATTACGAGTCTCGTCGTTGCCACTTTATCCATTACCACCTCATCCTACCAGTTCGATCCTCTCCACCATCTTGCCGGTATCGCTCCTTACTTCAGCTCTTATGATCCCCAGATTAATCCAGCTCCCCCCGCTGGCTGCAACGTCACACGCGCAACTTATCTTGTCCGTCATGCTGCCATCTACGCCAACGACTTCGACTACGAGACCTACATCGAGCCGTTCGTCGAGAAGCTGCGCAACACAACACAAAGCTGGACAAACACCGACTCGCTCGCCTTCCTCGCCAATTGGACCGCGCCGATCACCGAGGACCACCTCGAAAAGCTGACTCGCGTCGGACTCCAAGAGGCAACAACTCTGGGCGTTAAATTCCGCCAGCGATACCCTGACTTGCACACCGACAAAGTTTGGGCCGCAACAGCTGAGCGGGCGACCAAATCTGCACAGGGCTTCATAACTGGCTACACCAACAATAAAACGCACGTAGACCTTGTCAGCGTCGCACAGAGTGACACGTCCGGCGCCGACTCCTTGACCCCTTACAAATCCTGCCCAGCATACAGCTCCAGCTATGGCAGCACATATGAAGATGTACGCCTATCGTCGCATCACCCCTTACCTCACCCGGCAAATTTGACTAACAATATCCTAGGAATTCATTGAAAACTACACAGGCCCCATAATCAAGCGACTTAACGCCCTCGCCCCTAAATTCAACTTCACTTCCTCCGATGTAACCGCCATGTTTGAGCTCTGCGGCTATGAGACCGTAATCCGAGGCTCCTCACCATTCTGCTCCTCCTCGCTCTTCACCAACAACGAATGGCTCTCCTTCGAATACGCCAACGACATCATGTACTTCCACAACACGGGCTACGGCCGTCCAGTGTCGCCGGTGATCGGCTTCCCCTGGGTCAACGCCAGCTACAACCTCCTCTCCGCAGAGACAACCGAGCAAGACATCTACGTCTCCTTCACACACCGCGAGGTACCGCCAACCATTGTCACAGCGCTGGGCTTGTTCAACAACAGTGCTTATTCGGGCGCGGATAATGTGAACGCTACTATGCCGACGAATGAGGTGAATTATGATCGGGCCTGGAAGAGCAGTAACATCTTGCCATTCTTGGGAAATATTGGAATCGAGCGAATGGAGTGCAGTGGTACTCAGAATGGATTTGACGAGGGTGTGTACTTCCGGGTGTTGGTCAATGAGGCTGTTAAGCCGCTGATCGGGTGTCGGGACGGGCCTGGGGAGAGCTGTAGCGCGGAAAAATTTGCCGATTTTATTAGCGGGAAAGAGAAGAGGTTTGGGGATTTTGGCAGGATATGTGGCAACTCTTCTGCTTTGGAGACTTTGGATATCTATAATTAGTAGTGGTGGTGGTACGCTGGTACTTTCACCGGTTAGTAATGCCTGCGATGTGATTAATGAAGCACGTTCATAAGCGAAAATGCGGTGAATATTTGTAACAATTTCTACATGCGTCTCTAGACACCCTTCCAGGACAGATGAATTTGACAAAAGCCCGAACACTCGATTCATCCCAAATTGCATAGTCTTATCGTGAGCGTTACAGTCATGCTACTACCTAAGCAGCTCATAGTCTGAAGCATGACACCTTCTGTCAAGTACCACCACTGCCTCGTAAAGCCTACTTGAAGCAATGCAAGAGTCCATAGTGCTGGATAACCCCTTAGCGCAGTAGGACTAGCGCACAAGTATATTACAGGAGAAATAAACGAGCCGACTAAGCAGCTAAATAGATCATAGTTTAACATCTTACGCATTCTTCAAAATCTGGAGTGGAAAAAACATCATGAAAATGGCCAATTATGATGATTTCATGGAGTGACATGACGCTCTTAAGGGCTGTAGAAGCTTTAACTATCCGTTATGGTCGATGAAAATAACAGGGCTACCTCCAACTCGAAGGATTGTTTCATTGTGCTTATAGTTCAGGAATTGACAGTCTGTACCAAAAGATGTTATTGTTCGAGTACGCAGTGAGCCATCTGTGGCCATTTTCAAGCCACGTGATACGACAGACAAACTATAGTGCGAAACAGGGAGAATCGGTCATAAGTCTGGATAAATGGCGTAAAGCTTTCCAACCACTAGAGCAAGAACCGGAATCCCTCTGCCACTGCCCGGCCAGGCAAGCCGTGTTCTTCATTCTCACGAGCCCGCGCGAGATCAACACCTTCTAATTCATCGAGCTGTTTATTCAATCTACCCAAATAAATGCGAAGGATGGTGGCGATTACGATGGTCATTGCAAGCAAAGCGATATTGACACTGAAGGCGGCGATGTAACGAGGAGAGGCGGAGTCTATGAATTCCAACAAAGTTTAGCAGGTTATTTGTGACTGGAGATAATGGAGGCTTTGAACGTACCAGGGTAAAGATATGGCATATAGATCTGGCAGACATTACTGAGACAATTGATTAAGGCCAAGGCAGCGGCCCGCTTTGTGGCTGGGCGCGGGAGGACTGCGATCGTCAGCAAATGTAACTAGTCTCTGAGCCTGCACCATAGATGCTTACTGTTTGAAATATATCCCAACGACACTACGTAACCTGCGTAAATGCCACCGAGCATTATGCACATTGCCCTAGACCATCTTGTGTTAGTCATCTCGATCGGGAGGACCTATTGTTTGAGACTTACACATATCGAGCGGCGAAGTTGTTGCCTGCCATTGATAATATGAATGCCACAATAGCAACGACAGGCGGGAGTGCTATATGAAGGTATCGCTCGCCTGTTCGGTCTGCATGCCAGGCATGCACCAACACAACAAGGGTAGCGATAAGATATGGAGGTGTTGTCAGAAGCAAGGTATCAATGTTGTTACGGCCAAGTCCGGCCATCACGCTAGATGATAACGGTAAGTATCTGTAGACTGCCGGAGGAACAGGATATAGCTATTACCTGGGAAAGAAGGTTGTTACGCATCCGGCAGACGTGCATCCGTAGATGACGCCTAGCATTAGCCAAGTCTTTATGTCCCTGTTGTGCGATGATGAGCTTGGTGACCAAAGCAAATGGAAGATTAAAATACTTACGTGACGGCGAGCTTTGCACCCTTGGTCATGCTCTGATGTTCATTATCCACCCAGTCATCTTCGCCAATGTCCTTTTCTAGTCTCCATGCCGCAAGGACTTTCTCGTCATCTGTTAGCCACGAAGTGGTCCGGGGTAGATCGGGAACAATGAAAAATGCGATCAAAGCCGCAAAGATCTAGGATGGTCAGTTACAATCGGTTTCAAGAATGAGAGAAATGGTACATACCGTTAGAGATCCCTCAATAATGAAAAGCCACCTCCATGCAGCGATGCCTCGTGCGCCGTTCAAGCCGCTCGTGATACCGGCGGCGATCAGACCGGAGAATGCACCCGAGATCAATGAACCTGCGTATAGCAACGCGGTCCGTTTCCCCAACTCTTTCCTGGTATACCAGGCTGATAGAAGATATAGACATCCGGGCTAAAACGTTAGCGAATATCCAAAAGCAAGTAGGTGGACTCTTACAAAGTATGCAGCCTCGACGAATCCGAGTAGAAACCGAACGACCAACAAGCCAGCAAAGTTGTGGGTGGCCGCAGTGCAACACGAAATGACACCCCACGCTACCATACAGCCAGGTAGATAGATTGAAGGCTTTCCGAGCTTGTTGAGGATCAGGTTCGAAGGAACTGCGCCAATTAGCTGGCCTGGCAACAAAGGGAACAGAACAGTAGTACTGACCCTGCATAAGAAGATAACCGACGAACAGGATACTAACACACACCTGTGGCGTGTTAATTGCTCGCATGCCTTGTATCTATTCATCCTTCATAGCTTGTTGACTATCATACCTGGTATTGGTCACCTCTAAGGTTTAGGTCCGCTTGCAAACCAGCCAATTTCGCTGCTGCAATGTTGTTGCGATCCAAATAGTTCAAGATGTACATGATCACCATCATGATGAGCAGCCTGATATCAATCTTCCTAACTAGCTTTGCCTCCCGTCGTTGTATCTCTTCTGGCGTCAGATCTTGCAACGATGTTGGCACAGCAACAGTGCCCGAGCCCTTTAATGTGTCCCCCATTTCGGGGAATTCGATGTGTTCGGCCCCTGAATTCTTGACATTATCCATAGAAGGCAATTGGTAGATGGAATGAGAGCACTTGAGAGTAGTAAACTGAGATGTGCAGGGGCGAGTATGTTTGCCGGACGAGAGCAATGGAAGCGAAGAGAACGGTTGTGGGTATTCAAGCTTGTCCTTAAATGCTGGAGGATTCTCGAGCTTGGACTATTTCTGCACCAAGCTACCCCGTGGGGTGGTGAACAACCAACCGGGTTCGAGGATGGGGTTCTCTTCGGATATCTCAGGCGGGGTTGACGCACTTGGCAGCGGGAGCAAACAACCTGCCATATCCAGTGCATATCCGATGATTTTCCGGACTGAAGGGTCTGAGGGCCAGGGGAAAATGGTTTGCTTCTACAACAAGCCTGAGCCATGGTAATGTATGCTAATTCTTTCATTATACATTCGACGTCAGAACTGAGATCACTGGCAAACTACCAGAATGCACGATGAGAAAAGAAGCATACTTCAATTATATTGTGCTGTATAGCAGATGTTACAACCTTTATCACTCTTCTATCTTGATTCTAGCATCGTTATCCCCTTTGCCAACTTTTAAGAACATTGTGTTTATACTGGAAGGGAGAAAGAGGGCTCTTCACCCCCTTTTAAAATGGGAAACTAATCACTTTACATGAATGGGTACACGGAAGAATCTCACTCCTTTTGGTTTGCGTCCAAAAATTCCAGCAGTCTTTGCGCAACAGCAGATGGTTGCTCTTCGGGGAGGAAGTGGCCACAATCGTGAATAGCGCCTCCGGAAACATTGGCCGCGAACTTCTGAACCAAATCGATCATACCCGCGCCAACCGAGCTCTCTCCACCCAGAGCTAAGACAGGAATATCAAGTGGTGTCTTTGCGAACTCCAGATTCTGCTTCGAGCTCGTCTCAAAGGACCGATAGTACTCGAATCCTCGACTCATGGCTCCTGGTCTCGAATAGGCTTGAATATAGCGTTCAAAATGATCTTTGTGCATACCATCGGGATGAACGGTCTTCAAATTGAAAAACCAGGTCAAGAGCTCCCTCTCACGACCGCTCGTCAGGATTTCAGGTAACTCGGGAAGCGCGTTGAAGGAGAATTGCCAAAGACGTAAGTTGGTCTGCTGAGACAATGGGAACTGAAACTGGGGCAAGAAGCCCGGCACTGATGCATCTAGGATACTGAGCGATTTGATTCTCGATTGGAACTGAGCGGCCCAGGGATACGCGATCCATCCGCCCACATCGTGGCCAATTAGATGATACGGTTGTTCTTTCAAAGCGTCGTGAATGGCTTCGGCCATGATCTTGCTCACGTTCGCGGTATCATAGCCATTGGCGGGAGGAAGAGAATCACCCAAGCCTGGGGGGTCGAGTGCAAAGAACCGGTAGTTTTTGGAAAGTGGCTCAAACATGTCACTCCACGCTTCTGCTGTCTGTGGCCAGCCGGGAATGAGCACCACAGGAGGACCTTGGCCGCCGACGATGGCTCGGACCCCGTGCAGGAGACGGGTAACTTGCCACTTTGTCGTCATTCTGTAGATGTTGGTCCGGTTAAGTGACGGAATTAAGATTTTAATGACTTGTATTTGTCGTCCAAGTCAATTCCACCGGCATTCAAATAGAAAATGATACCTGGCTACTGAAACGTGCTGGTTATATTGTGGCCATGAGTCACAGAGACTTCGATGAGTCAAGGGAAGGGGATGATGCTAAAATCCCATATCTACCGATACTAACTGTATTCAGGTTAGGGTATAGCGCAAGGCCAATATTGTATAATAGAGGACAGATCTCCGTTACATAACGATCCGATTTAAGCAAAGTCAGTAATAACCTAATGCTACTTGGAAAAAAGGATTATGAAACAAACAGTTTATTGAGTTATCATATACAATGTTTTTTTTCCTTTCACTGGTGTTGCCAGTATTTGGCGGAGCGGGTCCCACAACTTGCCTGTAACTTACCCCGCCGGCACATAAAGCTTAGCTGGTTAGCCTATTGCGATGCTCGGCAAGATGGGGCGAGGTAGGTCAAAAGCTATCCCCGCGAGAAAAATCAGTGTCTCGATTCTTTTCCCGACCCGCTCATTTCTGGCATCGGTAAAAACCCCGCAGAGCCGTAAACACTCCTCCACCAATTGCTCTATTTTTACTTGCTGTGGGCTTATCCACACAAATGGTCTTGCCTGAACATAACAAGGGCGTGAACATTCTAAGATATCATACTCAATGAACAAGGTGATGTAGTTATTGCTAAGCTTGATTGATCGACCCAAAGCTATAACGGGAGCCAATAGCAGTGAGCAGAACGCGTCAGCTCAGGAGGTACTGGATAATTTGCTACCTGCGATTTGGCTTCGTGAAGCAGTAGCATAAACTTGGTTAAGAATCCGATTCATTCGATGGGCTTTTCCGGCTGCTTTGGCACTTTTCCGAGATGTTTTGAACGAGGACCTCAAACCTAATGTGGGTGTTTGTGTCGGCCCCGGACGGATCAAGTAGGCCTTATTACCGGTCACGGTCCTCATAAATCGAAATATCCTTTTTGATTGCTATTGATCGCAGTCCGCCAATTTTTAAAGGAATATTGATGGTCGTGGATCACATACCAAAAATGTCGATGGATGTTTGCATGTATCCGTAGAGATATTTCTTGGAGTGACAAACAAGATCTCACGGGGCATTTGGCAGCACCGGCTTTACTAATTAAGCTCCATTATCTATCAGAGGATTGCACTTAAGATAGCAGCCTATCATCAGTGGCAATCGGACTGTAGCGACGACGAAGAGCGAGGAAACCATGGATACCATGTAGTACAGTTACCACATAACGATTCGTAAACCTGCTTGCGTCTGATTGATGGTTCGCCTACTTTCTTTGTGCTCAGATAGAGCCACGACTTGTAGTGAAAGGGGAGCGAAACTGAAAGAGCGTGTGTGTGTCAAATTTGGTGTTTTGAATCAAGAGCTTCAGTACGCTTTATGCTCGAGTACAATTTTAGCAACCAGACAATATCTAGGCAATATTTCCTTTGGACGTGGCGATAGATCACGAAGGGATCTCATTGGGGTTCTTTGGTCAACAGTAGGAAGGTTTTGTCACAGCTAGGTACTTATTGACAACTCGTTAATCATTGCTTGGTCGTCAAGATATGTAGCCGGCCAATTTGTTTGACTTCGCACTTTGCAAACATTTAGTTAGCAGCTACTGAGTAATATAGGAATTTAGCCTTGTTTGATCCAGGCAATGAAAGACTTTAAGACTGCGCGCATGTGACCTGTGTGACCAAGCATCAAATACGACTGATTCTCTTTCCACCCAAACTCTGAGGTCAGGTTCTCTGCCGTCCTCGAACAACACCTGTCAATTATAGTGTTATGGCTACTATGAGCGGTTCTTTCAGTGCCGACACCAATATAATTCTTGATATTGGAGAAGTCTTACACGAACGATATCGAGTAGTACAGAAACTGGGTGCTGGGCGCTACTCAGCTGTCTATCTAGCGCGGGACCAGAAGTACGCTTTTCCTACGCCGTGCAAAACACGTAGAAACTTACGTTTCTCATAGGGAACTGTCTTACAAGGCAATAAAACTATTGAGGGAAGATCGCTATGACGGAGAACATGATCTCTTTGAGTTAGAGATACTGAAGCACCTACGCGAGGCGGATCCTAATCATCCAGGCTATCAGCACATTACCATCCTTCTTGATGACTCCATTTACATTAGCCGGTCGGGTTCTCAACATGTCTGCCTCGTTATGGAGCCAATGGCAGAAGACATGAAGACCTTCCCCCTTTTCTTTGAGGGTGCCCGGATACCTAACCACATCATGAAGAAAGTAACGAAACAATTACTATCTGCCCTGGACTATGCACATGGTTGTGGTGTAATCCATACAGGTAAGTCAATATGCTATGTGATCTAACAGAACATTTCTGTTGACTCACCTGCCCAAACATCAAACAAAGTAACATTATGGTGAAAATCCGAAATCCAGCTATGATCGATAGGTATTTGGGAAGATTCCTTGTCAAACCCAGCTGCCGATCTTGGAGAGTACAACTTCGATGATGCTTCTGAGCTGGTTCAAGCGGATGTTGTACTAGGTGACTGGGGATCGGCGAGTTGGGTCGAGAAGCATCTGACAGACTTCATTCAGCCTACATTACTCCGCGCGCCCGAGGTTATACTCGGGGCACCCTGGGTGAACCAAGGTAGATATTTGGAACCTAGGCGCCCTTCTACCCGAGCTCCTGGAGGCCTTACGCATGTTCAGTGGTAGGGCGGATGTTACAGGTGGTGTTTACCTTACTAAGCATCACCTTGAGGAAATCGAAGCCCTGTTTGGCCCCGTTCCTCCCGAATTGTTGCAATCTGGAGAGCCACAAATTGTTCAACAGTTTTTCGACGAGGAGTTCAACTTCCGTGATTGGACCCAGAGATCACCAGCGGTACTGGAGTGATGGATTGAGAGTATTGATGGTCCCGAAAAAGCCAATTTCATTTCAATGATACGCTCTATGCTGGTTATCGATCCAAAACAGCGAATGGCCGCACTTTCTCTTCACGATGCGCCGTGGCTTAATCCGGAGAAGTAAAGTCATGATGCATACCTCAAATCAGGGATTAGGGTCAGATTTAATTGCAAGGCTTTATGTGTATTACTCAGTGATAAAGAGGAAAACCATATATAAGACAGCTACTATTGCGGATACTCGGCAAGCACTTGTAGCCTGGAAGGGGATAGTCCGAGGTTTACCCCGCAAACCTTCTGTTGCCGCTTCCTTTGCTGATCAACAGCTCCCTGTCAGTCGGATATGTAAAATGCCATTTCTCCCCCCGGAAATAGCGGTCGGATAACTCTTCGACCAGGCCTGATCAATATCCCAAATGGAGCTGCAAAACAGTCCAGCGAGCAAACGGCGGTTTCCTAAGAAGCGCGTCCGAGTTACGCGGGCTTGTGATGCCTGCAAAAGGTGAGCCAATGTTGGCTGCCTTCGCGCTGCAGGGCTTAGCTTACAGAATAAACCCAGGAAGAAGTTGCGCTGTAGTGGGACATTACCCTGTCCGACCTGCCTTAAAACTAACAAAGCGTGCGAGTACACAGCCGAGTATAACAGGGGCAAGCCCCCTCAGGTCCGCATCGCTCAGCCATCAGTACAGGGCAATGAACAGCAACAGGAAGCTTCAGCCGAGGGGGGCAGGCCACCTCCGTCACCATATGCGCAGATTCTGGAGCGCTATAACATGCCTGACAGCCAGGTAGACAATCCGCCCTCTCGCGCCTCGCCTGAGCACCAAACGGACTTGGAAGGTCATTATGTCGGTCCTTCGTCAGGGGTATCCTTTCTCCTCCGAGCGCAGCGGAGACTCCACAAATATGTCGCGTTGCCAATTAACACGCCGATATTTACGTTCGGAGACTCTCCACTCCCGGAGGTTGAGTCGACCTTCATGCTATTGCCTCCCCGGAACGAGGCTAATGCGCTCTTGGCCCGGTACTTTGACTTCGCTTTCCCCACACATCGGTTTCTCCATCAGCCCCAGGTTGAGGGCTGGGTGGAAGACTTCTATCGCGCTGTGCAAGACTCGGAGGCAGTCAGTCCCGGCATGCGGGGAAAAAGGGCAGTGGTGCTGATGGTCTTCGCTCAGGCAAGACAAGGCCAGCCTGACAGGGATCAATCGACCGTCCGATCTTTGATTAGTAGGTTCGCTGGCACAGAATCGTTTCTAACAGTTTCAATCAACTCACGAATGGCCAGTGCGGGCTACTTTACAGCCTCGGAGCAACAGCTCTCCGCCGAGACGGGACCCGTGCGAATAACCAGCGTCCAGGCACGGCTGGCCCAGTGCTTCTATCTTCTGTCTCAATCTCGCATCAACCACTGTTGGAGTTTGTTCGGAACCACTGCTCGGCTTGCCATGACCATCGGTTTGCACCGTGCAAGAAGACGTGAGTATGGTGCCAAGGTCGATCATATCGAAGCTGAATGTCGGAAGCGCGTCTTCTGGTGTGCCTACAGCTTGGATAACTATTTGAGTGCTGCTTTGGGCCGCCCTCGGATATTTCACGATGATGACATTGATCAAGACTTTCCTACTGTTGCTGATGACTCGTGGATCCTCAGAGACCGAATCCTCACCCCCGTGTCGACGACCCAGAGTATAATGCTTGCCCCACTTTACCATGCCAGGTTGTCTGTCATAATTGGTCGCATACTGCATGACATATATGGAGTTCGCAGAGGTGGCTTACAAGCGGAAGTATCTGCTGCCGCTCAACACGGTGCTGAACTTACCAGTTGGCGTCAAGAGATTTCCGGCTTCCTCGATACCCCGAATGTGGATCTTTTGATGTTGACGTACCAACGCCAATACACAGTGCTGAACTTGGCCTTCTATCACGCACAAATTCTACTCTACAGGCCTTTCATCTTGCGCAATTTTGGGCACATCAGTCGCGAAAGACCACGAGATGGCTCGTCCAATAAACCTGTCGACGATTACATTGAGAATTGTCTTGACGCGGCCATGCGAATTGCCGCGATCATCCGCGAACTTTGCGAGAAACAGCGGATGTATAACACGTTCTGGGTACGTAGCTACTTTTTTTTTTTTTTTTTTTTTTTTTTTTTTTTTTTTCGCTGGTAGTAAAAGCTGATTTCGGACAGTTTACACATTACTACGCGTTCTCAGCAATTATGATTCTGTATTTCCGGGTCATCCAGCTGTGTGCTCAGAGAGGCAATGTTGAGGAAGTATGCCTTAAATATCTGCGGACAGGGGAGTGCGCCCAGCAAGATCTCGCTAGCTGTAGCTCCCACTCGTCTTTTGTACAGCGCTACGTCGTCATTCTCGAGGAGCTTCGCCAAGAGGCGCGAACGGCCGTCAATCAGCCTGTACCTCATGATCATAGGATCCCACACATTGGGGCCCCAGGCTACGAGGAAACAATCATCCCAGGTGAACCTGCACTGAATCACACCGAAATAGGTGACGGACCACAGAGTAGCAGCCTGATATCTCCAACAATGGAGTACAATCCTTCTCAATGGGAACGAGATTTAACTGAGGATGGCTTTACTGTGTCTGGCTTGTCAGGACCTGCAGACTGGGAAGGGATCGACTCCTTAGCTATCGCAGGACTGGGGGAGTTAGACTACCTGTTCCCTCATATAGACCCTTCCGGAAAATAGCACTCCTAGTCCTCGCTCATATATTGACAGAATCGAGTTGATGGGAATTTTGGTAATAGCCCCGCAGTGCCTTTTCATATATATTCATCCAGAGCTATGTACTTTGAAAGACATGATATCAGAGAGCCATCCCAGTAGTCACAGAAGATTTATCTATTCAAAAATATTTGCCAAGGCTATCGTCTTTCACATTTCCGACTACAGCTCTGTGGCTGACTTTTCCGTGTGGCTCCATTTCCGCCCGAGAGTCCGGAAAAGAAAACTCGGATAAGTCTACTGGGCCGAGGCAGTACCCCTTATAATCTCATCGAAAGATCTTGACCAGTGCTCGCAGTTCTATACTGAAGACTCTGCATGATATCTTACCATCCAATTTTGCTTTCATGATGCCCAACATGCAAAATTCACCATCCTTCATTTTGTTTGAAGCGTCGGTCGCATAACCAAAATGATAGTTTCGGTGGGTTTCATGTCATGCTTCTCCCTCTTAATCAGTTAATTCGCACTCAATCACGCTTTCCACCCCAGCACCGGCACTCCAGATATGAACAATCTTCAGACCCACCCTCCTCTCGATCAAATCAAACCACGCTGCCCGAGTGCGCTGCTCAGAGGAGAACAGCCCCAACATCATCATGTCAAGCCCAGTAGTTTCCCAGTGGGCCCCGGTCTCAGGAACAACAAATTCATTTATCAAGAGCCTGCTATACCCAGGCTTCATAGCTTCCTTGACACGCTTTAGTAGTGTTTCACATACATCGTCACACCAGTTATGTAGCGTTGAGTGTATGTAGTAGGCTCGAGCGCCTGGATATATATAAACCAAGCATTAGCCCAAACCTGATATACGAAGAAGTGGAGAAGACTGAACGCACCTTTAACTGGCTGCTCATCATGAAAATCATACTCCATACGCACAATCGATGAATGCAAATCCTTTATTTGGCCGATCATCATGGGCAAGTCTTGGAGGATGAGCTTCCCGGGCACATCTGGAAATGCAGCGCGGAATCTTTCCAGATCATGTCCTACGTTACCACCGATGTCCACGAGAAAAGGCGAGTCCAGACTAGGATCAGCGCCGTTGATGAGCCTCTCCTTCACAGGATACACATCAGGATGGATCCACCATCGGCGACCGAGATTGTAACCACTTAAGTAATCATTCAGGTGTTTTCCATAACCTAACTCATTTACCCAGGTGAAGAGGTCCTTGTCAGTGCCATAAGCATTCATCAAAGATGTGTCCTCAGGGTTAGTTGGGTTTGTCCAACCACGCTTGCGAGAGAATTCATGGAATTTCAGGCAGCCAGCACTGGTACATGCAGTTCTAGTGTGCAATGGAATAGCTATATTAGCTGTTACATGATAAAGGGCTATAAGTGTAGAGTATACTCACAGGCCGAGATATCCATTTCCAATCTGAGGGAGACTGAGGGCTTTGGTGTAATTAGTGGGCTGGTACTCGTCCTCACCGACTTCATTTAGAAGGCCCATGGCGCTGAGGTGACGCATAAGACGACCTGGTGATAAGTTAGCAAGGTCCGGGAAACTAATTAATGTGGCACATACTGAGAAGGTTCGGTTCGATTTGTAGTCTCGACGCCAGGTCTGCGACTCTCTGCGGTTTATCTCCATTTTGGGCCATTAAGATCCATAATCCTGAGTCCACGCCAAATCCTACTGCCATCATAGCTCCGATCTATTGTGGTTAGTGTACTCTGGATTCATTGTGACCGAAGGTACATACATGTCCCCAGCAGTGATCAGCCATGATCTCTCGAGGGGTCGATAGAGCTAGAAATAGCTGTCGACATTTGAATATAGCATCTTTGCGAATGTCATCGGAATCAGTTCCCAAGCGTTTAACATCTTCTGCAATTTCATTCAATAGCTTGAGAGCCTCATGAAGATTGCTTGGAGATGAAGCGACAGAAATATCTACAGTAGCCCTCACTCTGTTTTCCGCGTCCATTCTTAACGATACGGCTCAATAATGGAAAGCACACACGATAAGGGGCTTATATGAAGAGGGGTTAATGCAAGGGTCTGCTTGCCCCCTTTGAAGTAGCTAGTGCATGTAGGAAAGCAAAGAGAGAAGGCGTCGTCCTTGAGATCACCTGTCCTGTTTGATGGAAATCCTGGCCGAATTTGGCCATCCCATGCAGCATCCTACATATCCTGGATGTGAACCAACTATACACTCCTATTACAACAGCAACCGTGGCATTCCTAGGTCCGATTGCGGGTCACCTCTCACTTACCTTAACATGTAAACATACCGATGTTATAGATGCTATTCCGTTTCAAGGGAAAGTCATCTTGCTCGTAAGAAGTCTGTGGGTCAGTCTGACAACGCTTGACAGGTGCCAAATGCTCGGAATACCATTATTTCCCGTCCAAGGTCTCCAACTCGTATTGGTCTTATGACCTAGCATTATCGGACAAACCTCGTACTATTGCCTTGATATACTGTTCTAAATTGCAGGGATTCGCCTGCGGACTGGTGACAAGTATTCTCACCCCACGCGCAATTACCATTACAGGCAAGTCTCAATATGCCGAAAAAAGAAAATACTAGGTCACCGACTCATGAATTGATACCGAGAATGTCCAGCAGTCCGTCATTTCTCATAACGTCCACTAACCACGCCATGCCACTTATGAAACATGTTCTCCGGATCATACCTACTCTTCACCCTCCTTAGCCTCTCCAAATTGTCTCCGTATGCGTCAGTAGGCTTTACCTGCTCGTTCTCCATATTCAGATAACGCCCCACTGGTCCTGTCCCGAGATGGTCCCCTTCACCGTGACGTTGACGCTCATATCCGTTGACATTCCGTATTGTCGCGCATAAATTTGCATTAAATCGACGAACAGTCGCATCAAGATTGGGGTCAGTCCATCCAAAGATGGTGACAACATCATAATAAGCCCCGCGGTTGGCGTACGCAGTAGCATCTTGGGGAACCTCACGCAGCTTGCGGGTTGAGAAAAGCTCCACTGCCATGGAGCAGACAGTAACGTTCGGATGGTCATCATGAAACGACCAGACCATATTTGCCATTTGCTGGAAGGCTTCCATTTGCAGGGGCATCGTGACATTCGCGGAGCCTTGGTGACGGCGTATCCCGTATTCGCACAATGGGTTCTGTAAGGTGTTGACCTCAGCGATGGACATAGTTCTCGTCGAGTTTATGATAGGTTTCATGTCAAGTAGTCCTGAGAAGTAGCCCTTGGCTTCCTCATCCGAACCCTGATAAAGTGGGACAGCAGTGAGGATACGGGTTTTTCCATCCAGCGTGTGGCCCACGCCGATAGTCAAGCAATGACCTTCGCGATTATCTCGATTGTGGAACTCATTGGCGAATGCCACAAGTTCAGGTAGGGAATCCGGTACAAAGCCGAGGATCCCGCTCCATACTTCTTCTTGGTGATGGACACGGTACAGAAATCGCGTTACGACGCCAAGCTGCGCCCCAGCTCCGCGAACGGCCCAAAACAGGTCTGCATTCTCTGTTTCAGAAGCTTCAAGGATGCACCCATCGGCTGTAACGATCTGGACTGCTAAGAGGTTGTCGATCGCGAGGCCATGCTTCGCTGTCAGCCATCCATGGCCACCACCTAGGATTAGCCCCCCAACCCCGGTATGGTTGACTGCACCCCCGACGACAGCTAATCCGCGGGCCTCTAATGGTTTGTCAATGTCGGCCCACAGGCATCCGCCCTCAAACGACACAGTGATGTTAGTCTCATCCAGTTCGACTCTTCGCATATTTCCGAGATGTACGAGCATGCCTTCTGATGATGATGCACCGCTAGTCGAGTGACCACCGCCACAAACAGCCAGGGAGAGCTTGCTTGCGAAGGCAAACTTCACCGCCGCAGCTACCTCTTCAGCACAGGTCGGCTTGACTACCACGGCCTAGAAGTCAGTCAGTATGATTCTAAATGAATATGATGAAAGTTCGGCTTGTGGTGAGTAGGAGATCGGGGGCTTGACTGACAGAATTCACTTCAGCCGCCTTACTCCATCTCCTAAGACTGGCAGCATATCCATCATCATCTGGCGTCAATACTTCACCATGTGAAATGGTAGTGTATAATTCGTTCCATTCAGGCATAACTGAGAAAACCGTAGTGTAACTCGAATGTTGAGCTTGAAGGAGTTAGTAGGCATGCTAGTGCGACCTTTAGTGCTTTTTGTGGGGTGGGTGTGTGAGCCAACTGAAGCCTGCCAGAATATGTCATCGGAATCTTCTGCGAGTCCATCCCTGGCATCCGTTAGATGCACGCGTAACCGTTCTGGTAAACTCCTTGCTCCTGAGTATTAATCTTCCAAGCCAGCCGAGTCAGCCTGTACAATCGAATTTCCATCTTGGACTGGTGGCATGATTTTCCATGACAAAGGACATATACTGTGCACCCTCGCTGCTTAATTTACTGACAATGGAATTGACGAAAAGCAAGGACGAACAACCCCTTTCTATTTGGGTTTTTTTTTGAAATGCTAGGAGAGGATCATTTAGCAAATACTCAGGTGAACTTGTCATTGGACAAGACGATAAAGGCTGCAGTAGTCAGATTTGTTGATCTTTCTTCCTTGATACCTTTTAAGTAGAAATTGCGACTTTCTCGCTCACGAACAGCTATGCAGTGGTTTGCGCCTGCTCTTTGGTCATGTACGTTCGGCTTTTGTAATACCCACCCATTCTTCGAGAGAGCCAATCCTATTAATTGCTGATACAAGGGGCAGCCAAATCTGTTGTAGTACTCAACTTGATAGTTACTCCATTTGCATCACAGAATCTCATTGTGCGCTTGTTCTGGATAAAACTGGTACTTATTTACTGTGGGTCAATCTGATGAAAACATCAAAGTGCTTGTTATGCAGCTTTACCTGCCACATCGGTATCGACCTGCGAACCCAAGTGAGACAGGAATCATAGAAACATTCATTCTAATTTTTTGAGACCCAGAAAACAGACAGCGAGAAATTCCCCAATCTACTTACGGCTTCACCACCATTACCGCCATGTCAACCACGACACGAAAAAACGATAAGGCAGATACCGCCGCATCGAGCTTCCAGGGCATACCGGAAGGGGATCTGAGAAAGATCTGGCAATGGGACAAGATATGCCCACCACCAATCATGAGATGTGTCCACGAAATATGCGAAGAAAGGGCACGGGGGCAAGTTGATGCACTGGCTATTTCAGCTTGGGATGGCAAATTGCACTACGGAGAGTTGATACAGCTCGCCACAAAACTAGCAAAATGGCTCGTTCTTTCTGGAATACGACCTGGCATGGTTGTGCCTCTCTGCTTTGAGAAATCATTGTGGACAACTGTAGCTATGCTGGGTGTGCTCAAGGCTGGTGCGGCATTTGTTATGCTTGATACATCATTCCCCAAACAGCGTCTTCGGGCTATTGTCGAAAGCGTAAACGCAGATATGATCTTATCGTCTGTTCCAAGCAACACCATCGCGGCATCATTGGCTGAAACTGTAATTGCCATAGATTCGACCTTCTTGTCGACGTTGAATAACCTGGAAGGACAAGACCCGCCACCGGTCGACCCATCGTCACTCATGTACTTAGCCTTTACATCAGGTTCCACAGGCACACCAAAGGGATTAGTAATAACACATAGCAATTATGCATCATCTCTCCACTACCAACTGCCACTCCTGGGGTTCACTGAGGAAACCAGACTCTACGACTTCTCTTCCTATGGTTTTGATGCTTCACTCAGCCACACGTTTACGATCCTTGCCGCAGGGGGCTGTTTATGCGTGCCATCCGAGGAAGACCGGAAAAATAGATTGGCTGAAAGCATAAAGTCTCTCCGTGCAAATGCTGTCGGGCTTACCCCGTCAGTTGCCAGGTTGTTGAATCCTGCTGACACCCAAACTATAGCAACGATCTTGTTTCTCGGCGAGGCTTTGCGTCCTAGCGAAGTTCAACGCTGGTGGGGTAAAGTGAGCATCAGCAACATATACGGACCTAGCGAGTGCACGCCCTACGCTGTCATCAACAACAGCGCGGCGAGTCCGCAGGAGACCACTCGACTAGGCAAAGGTGCAGGACTGGTGACATGGATCGTTGATCCAGATAACCACGACCGCTTACTACCTCTTGGGGAGACCGGTGAGCTGCTTCTAGAAGGGCCACTAGTGGGCAAAGGGTATTTGAATGATGAAGAAAGAACGGCACAAGTGTTTATCCAGGATCCAGCATGGCTACGACAAGGTGGACCCAATTATCCAGGACGCTGCGGACAACATTTGTACAAAACAGGGGATCTTGTCCACTACAACATCGATGGAAGCCTGACCTATGTCGGTCGCAAGGACACGCAGATTAAGATTCACGGGCAGCGAGCGGAACTCGGAGAAATAGAGTTTTTCTTGGAGCAGCACATGCCAGAAGCCAAACAGGTTATAGTAGAGACGATTACAGTCAAACAGGAGGAATCAAGCGCAGTGTTGGCAGCTTTCATTCAGCCACGTCAGACCTCGACCAATACCGAGGGACCGGGAATAGCTCCCATGAAGATATACCATGTGCCACTTAATGTCATACGGGTGCTAGCTGAGACCCTGCCAGCCTATATGATACCGTCTTATTTCCTGTCCATACGTGAATTCCCCAGAACCTTATCAGACAAGTTAGACCGGAAGAAGCTCCGGGATATAGGTACTTTGTGGTTCCAGCGATGGGTTAAGGAGCAAAACCACGTGGCCAAGACAAAACCAACTTCTCATGTGGGAATTGAGCTGCAAAGGATCTGGGGGGATGTTCTAGGTATTGAGTCGATATCAGTCGGGCTTCAAGATAATTTCTTTCGGTTAGGAGGTGACTCGATTTCAGCAATGAAGGTCGTGTCCAAGGCTCAACAGGCTGGTCTCGGGCTGACGTTTTCCGAAGTGTTCCAGTATCCCACACTTGGTGGTCTGGAAGGTCGGTGTCGCCTTGAGCGTGCGAACCCTGTTGAAATGATTCCACCTTACTCTCTTTTGGGAAATGGATGGAATGAAGCACTTCTCCAGGACATTGTGGCCTATCATCAGCTGGATCCCGATACAGTGGAGGACGCATATCCTTGTACACCCCTACAAGAAGGCCTCTTGTATCTATCATTGCAAACTCCAGGCACATACACGATGCAGCGAGTTTTGAAATTGAGTCCGGATATAGATGCAACAGAAATCTGTTGTGCATGGGACAAAATGGCCCAGAATACGCCCATCTTACGGACCAGGATCATACAACATAGCGACATGGGCTTTTTGCAGGTGGTCTTAAGGGGGGGCATCCAATGGATCCATGCAAAAAACCTACAGAATTATCTTAAAAAAGACAATACAACTCCCATGGGCCTCGGAAAGCCTCTTGTACGCCATGCAATTGTCACAGACAACACAACCAATCACCGATGGTTTGTGTTGACCCTTCATCATGCTCTATACGATGGCTGGACAATACCACTCATGCTGCAAAGGCTGAGCAATGCGTATAATGGCATACCCAAGAGACACAATCAACCAGAGTTCAAGGACTTCATCAAATACATCCAGGGCCAGAGCCACGAACGCGCTGCTGAATACTGGAGGGATAACCTTGCCGATTGTGACTGCGAACCATTTCCAGCTCTTCCGTCGTCGGTACAGCAGGTTGAGACTGATAGTGAGATCACACATAAGTTATCATCCATAAAATTACATACACCAGAAGTTACGCCCGCTATACTTATCCGTTCCGCCTGCGCCCTCCTCCTCAGTCACAGGACCAGCTCACACAAAGTAGTGTTTGGGATCACCACATCAGGCCGAAGCGCTCCTATTACTGGTATTGAGGAGATAGTAGGCCCAACAATTGCGACGATCCCACTCTACGTCAACATACAGCAGTCACAAACCGTTATGGAATACCTTGAAAGCATTCAGCAGCAAATGATGACCATGATCCCTTTCGAGCAGTTCGGTTTGCACAACATTGCCAAAGCCAGCGCCGATGCTCGTCAGGCTTGCATGTTCCAGACTCTTCTCATTGTTCAACCCGAGGAATTTGCAAATGCCGATAATACTTTCGGGGAGTGGGAAGGGTGGCAAGAGCCGGAGTGGGACAACACGTACGCCCTTGTCCTGGAGGTGCAGCTTGGGACTGGGCGCGTCAACGCTAGATTTGATTCCAATATCATTAAATCGTGGATAGTTCAGGACCTACTGGAAGGACTCGACTTTGTGATAGGGCAGCTCCGCACAGCACAATCCGACAAGAGAATAACAGATATTGATCTTGTGACGCCTCAGAGTCTCGAGCACATATGGGGATGGAATAGGCTCGTCCCATCACCGGTCAAAGCAACAATCAACGAGCTTGTTGAGGAGCAGGTGGAGCAACAGCCGACTGGAATGGCAATACACGCGTGGGATGGAGACCTAACATACGTTGAGCTTGACCACCTCGCCACGAGCCTGGCAACCGAGCTCGCCAGACTTGGAGTCAGCCCATCCCTACTGGGGTCGAACAATGTGATTCCACTTTACTTTGAGAAATCGAAGTGGGCCATAGTATCCATCCTGGCAGTTCTGAAGACGGGTGCAGGCTTTGTGTTGCTCGACCCGTCTCAACCGGAGTCCCGATTGCGCTCAATCATTGAAACAGTCGGAGCCAAGATACTGCTCTCCTCCGAAGCCAACATGGATCTAAGCCGCCAGCTATCCAAGATAGTGATACAAGTTGGTCCAGAGTTGTCCAGAATTCCGAGTGATATGAAAAATCATTTTGACGGTGTCACGGGACAACCGCCACTACCCTCCAGCCTACTATATACAGTGTTTACCTCTGGTAGCACCGGAACACCGAAAGGAGTCATGGTATCACACGAAAGCTTCTGCTCTGCTCTACATCATCAATCAAAGCATTTAAACTTCACAGCAAGGTCCAGAGCCTTGGATGGTGCATCATATTCGTTCGATGCCGCAATCCATAACATTCTGACGACACTTGCGGTCGGAGCATGTCTGTGCATACCCTCGCAAGAAAGCTACAAGGGTGACATCGGCAGTGCTATAGCCGATATGCGTCCTACCATCTGTAATCTAACCCCAACGGTAGCCCGTCTGTTAGACCCGGAGAGGGCATACGACCTGGAGACGTTGATACTACTGGGCGAGCCTGTTATAAGGAGCGATATTGACCGATGGCGGTCAAGCGATGTCCAGGTCATAAACGCCTACGGACCTGCTGAGTGCACACCAATAAGCACTATCAACGCTAATCCGTCTATTACAGACGAAGCAATTCGGATTGGAAAAGGTGCAGGTGTGACAACCTGGATTGTACATCCCGAGAACCATAATCGGCTGGTACCGCTAGGATGCACCGGTGAATTACTTCTTGAGGGGCCCCTTGTTGGCTTAGGCTATATGAACGACCCAGGAAAGACTGGAGAAGCATTTGTGGAAGACCCCGAATGGCTGCTCACAGGCTCAACAAGTCATCCCGGTCGCCGTGGTCGTCTTTATAAAACCGGTGATTTGGTGCAGTACAACGAGGATGGAAGCTTATCATTCATGGGGCGCAAGGACAACCAAGTCAAAATACGTGGTCAGCGGGTAGAGCTCGGAGATATTGAGTACCATGTTTCAGCTTCCTTGCCAACGAAAGCGATTCAGGTCGTGGCAGAAGTCGTTGTACTGGAGGATGACGGGGAGCCGAAACCGGTACTGGTAGCTTTTATCCACACGGATAACAAGGACATGTCTGCCAGGGAGGATACAACAATGTCTGCTAAGCCATACCGGATGACCGAAAAGGTCATGAAACGGATTTCACACCGTTTGTCTATTGTCCCCGACGTCTTTGTTTCCATGCGGAAACTTCCTCTGACACCAACGGGGAAGATTGATCGGAAACAGCTTCGTGAGATAGGCCGGTCGCTTCTCTTGAGTGAAGGACACGTCTTCGATGGCACCTCCGATCCCTCTCATAACGATGACGACTCTCAAAGCAGATTGATTCTCCAGAATGATCATCCTGCATACACCATCGCCCAGAAGGTGTATTCCATGCGCCCTTCATGGATGAAGAATGGAGTTCCAAGCGCACGAACGGGATACAAAGATATTTCTTTACACTCCTCTGGTCTGGACTCCGTCAATATGATGGAACTCACCTCATTCGTTTCACGCCACTTCAACGTCCAAGTCGACATGCAATATGTAATGGCCAAGGCCACTACTATCAGAAGTCTAGCCGACTACGTGCTCCACTACCAAAAGAACGGTACTACCTCTTCCTCCGCCGAGCATACCTCAACTGGTGTTGACCTAATGAGAGAGATCAACCGACATGACTCAAGGATTCGGGCTGCTCAACTCACATTTTCGGGAAGCAATAATCCAACACTCAAACATCCCTCAGTCTGTAGGGACAAGGGGTCATTCACCGTCTTCTTGACTGGTGCAAACGGTTTCCTGGGTACTCAAATTCTCCGCCAACTCCTGTCCACCCCTAAGGTGAGCCGCGTCATCTGTCTCGTACGTGGTGATACAGATGATGCTGCGAGACAGCGCACCATCAGCCTGGCCAAGGAGGCCCTCTGGTGGACGGGCCACCACGCAGAAAAGCTCGAGGTTTGGCGGGGAGATCTAACATCACCCAAACTCGGACTTGACCCAGACCGCTGGGAAACTCTCAGCTGTGGTGAAAAAGTTGATTGTATCATACACAACGCCGCCACAGTGCATTGGATGAAGGGCTACGACGTTCTAGAGGCTGCCAACGTCGGATCGACCATGGAATTGTTGGAAGTCGCACTGAGATGCCCCTCTATGAGGTTCGTCTATATCACAGGCGGCCGCCCATGGAAGGCCCACGAAGAGGAAGATGTTGTGGCGGAGCTGTCCGCTCCCGATGCCATCCCCTATAGCCAGACGAAGTTGGTCTCTGAAGTCGTCGTCCGACGCGCTGCAACACGCAAAATACCGGGAAGCAGTACCCCTACTCCAGCAGGAAATATTGCTGTCATAAACGTGATGCACCGTTCGACCAACGTCACCGTATAAACGCCAGTAGTGGATCAATGTGGTCAATTTTGGAAACTGTGTTGATTGTGGAAGGGTTGATTCGTATTCGGGCAAGACCGATGATTCTTGGAATGCCTCCAACTCCTTCAGCACCGGGTCAACCAGTGCCTCGACTTCAGCGGCCCATTCCGGGGAGGGACTTTGGCGAGGTACAAGATACTGATTTAGAAGAAGGCAACATGCATTGAGATGACCAAAAAATACCCGCAGCTCTCGATATTCAAAGTCTCCAAAGTAGTCTGCAACAGCGCGAAACGGCTCGAGGCAATCACGAAGAAGGTGGATGGTCTTCTCAAACACCCCCAGAGTTAGACAAAGCTCCCTGAGCCAAAGGTCACAGCGTGTAATGGACTCCTCACCTGGATTGCCATCATTAAAAGCCCGATTATATGCCACAATCCATAACCAAGGAACGCCTTCCAGAGCATATAGTAGTGCCAGTCGTAGGGGGAGATGAAAGGAATAAAGAAGGTTGACGGTGAAGTGAGACTAGTTGATGCGGTGCGGGGTAGGGCAACTACTAGTGCAGCTCAGCCTCGCGCGTCCCCAACTCACCAGCTTCTTTCCTTCCTAGACTCCAAAATCACCGCTAGACTTCTCTTTCCTTCTCTGTCGGCCGCAATGGGTACAGAGTCCTGGACGACTGTAACACTTGCGGAATCTGCGAACCTCTGTCTAGAGTCTTTCACCAAGTGTCTCGCTCGGGTTGGCCATCTCACCGTACGGGAGCAATCAGCAATCGAAGACCAACTTGGACAATTCTCGATCTGGTCTTCAAACATAGGGATCTTTGCAGCAGCGAAGAACTCCCTTGATTACCGTCTTCGCGATGCGTTTCGTGTTCAACGACTGCTTCGCCGCTTGCTCCGGATACTGAACGACCATATCCAGCGACGTAACATCAACCCTATGCCATATCGTGTAAGAGAATGTTTGGCTAACGCAAGAACGCTACAGTTTTGTCAGCTATAAACAGCCCACCAGAAGTACGAACGACTCTTTCCAGGCCCTCTTCCTCTTTATCTGAGGCTACTGAGCTGGATCCTATCATCCGGGAATTAGCAGACGAAATCGACCTGATCCACAAGCTTTCCAGAGCAATACGCATTGTGAGCAAAGAGTCCCAGTATTTAGGCACTTCAGCCTCTAAACTGAGTGATAATGTCAGCGGTGATGTCAAGGGCTCACGCATTAATCAATCTGACTTGGAGGTCATTCAAGATGAGTTTCCAAAGTGTGATTACTCACTCCAAAGGAGGCTGGCAGCTACCATGCTGCTACGTCGAAGGGAACAGGTGATTCTCTACTGGAGCTCCCGAAACTGGAATCTCTCCTCTCGATATTCTACTATTCCAAAACGGGCCGTCTCTATCCCAGAATTATCTCCAAGTCGCACCCATAGGGAATCCCCTCCAGTACTGCCAACATCTGAGGCCATAGAAGAAGATTTTAGTGGCACCTCTTTGTTGAGACCGATGTCTCAGCTGGGCAAACACATCATCCCGGAGAGACAGCGATCTCCTCGAGTTTCCTCCAGCACAGCCAGCATCTGAGGCCAAACAAGACAATTCTAGTAGCTCCTCTTTGTTGAGCCCGATTGTGCTAACGTTCGAGAAACCCAAAGCACAACACACCCTGTCTCGTCTCAGCTGGGCAGACACATCATCCAGGAGAGACGCCGAACACCTCGCGTTTCCTCCCGCACCCATCGAATCAATTCTTCAGAGATTACAGACCCTCAACGATAATCATATAGCGACAGAAAAGGCGTTCCTACGGGGGAACACCAGCTACTCTCGTGGCGTTACACCACCTATGCCTTCAATGTTTAGCAAAGGCCAGCGTGATCGGCGCGGGATCAGCCTAATGGAATCAAAGCGGGATCTGGAACGCGAGTGGTCAATCTGTATGGAAGGCGCAAGAAATGTCATCTGTCCTTATTGTTACTGTGATCTTCCTAGTTCAGTTGCCATGAACCAGAAGAAGTGGAGGTAAGTCACGATGCATGGATTGATGTCAGCCCTGTTACATGAGACATTGTGTTAAGAAAACCCAAGTGATCATGTCAAGGGTGACCTCGACCTCTACATTTGTTTGTTCGACCGCTGTGACTCTCCCTACAAGTTATACAATACCAAAGACGAATGGTTAAACCATATGCGTCAACATAGGCCGCGATGGCGTTGTGCCGCACGGGCGCACGGTGTCCTTGTCTTCTATGAGAAAAGCGAGTACGAAGAGCACATGCGCCGAAAGCACAAAAGCACCCAACCACAACTAGCCATACTCGCTGAGAGAAGTAGTCGACCCTCTGGCCCTGTCTTTCAGTCCTGCCCGTTATGTGGTGAAGGAAATCGGGCTGATCTCGAGGAGCACATTGCTGACCATCTTACATACCTTGCATTGATGTCAATCCCCTTGCCTAAGAGCCAATCGACCGATGATCACATGAAGATGGCTGCAAATTTGGATACCGATCATCTCCGGGCCGGAGGCGCTGGACGGACCGATTCCTATCACTCTTTTGACGAAAGTGAAATGAAAAAGGCAGGAGATCCCTCCAGGCTCCCTGAATCCCCCTTTGCCGGATTGAAAGAGTCAAAACAAAAACAGACAAAGGGAAAGGCACCAGTGAAGGACCGTAATCAGGAAGAAACTCACAGGAGGTAATTACAACAAGCCCTGTCTTTATGTAGTTTCCGAAAGGCTAATTCATCCCAAGGTGAAAACACCGGGTTCTTTCCCGGTCGGTGTCAATGGATGGGCTGTACTGAGTCATAAGAGTTTAAGGGAGAGGAGGATCTCCTCCGTCATATCTTCGCCACCCTTATGGAATATCCTTCTTCCTGTCCTGTGGAGGGTTGCGGGCAACCATTTTCCGATAGACAGGATTCTCAGAAACATCTGAGGACTGACCACAACAAGGATTTGCGGACTGACCGCGACAAAGGTCTTTCTAGAGGAGAGTAAGCCATGCTCCTCAAATTTATGTCCTCTATACCAGCAGTAAGACTAACACATTTTTAAGACATGGACTGAGATATCCTCCGACACGTTACCAATGGGCCGGCTGCACTGTAAAGGATAGTTTCAAACTACGCAGTAACCTCTATCAACATATCCGGATATGCATTTATAGCATCTTTGGTCTTTAATTCAAGAATGGGAGCCTGAGTATCTTTACATCCTTGCTGTCTGGAAGGAGTATTCACTAGAACCCCCGTCTCAATCAACCCGCGATTTGATGAGACGTCGAAGAAAGACCCCGGCTTATCCAGTTTAGGAACAACCCCTCCAAGGCTCAGGACCCGCTCGTGAATGATCCATCTGCATTTGTGAGGCTGATAAGACGCAATAAACTCTACTAGTCCAAACTCAAACAATACGCGCACAATGATTTGGGACGTTAGACTTCCTGTGATTCCCACTGCCAAGTTAGGGGCGCTGATCTTAGTCTGATTGAGAGAGTTCTGCAGGGTTTGAGGGAGCACAAACTACGTAATATAGTGAGAACACTGAATGTCACCAGTGATGAGAGAAGATATATTTCTAACTTGTCATGCTACTCCTCCATCCTCAAGAAGTATTACAATCTTTCATCCCTCTCCTTTTTCCAGTCCTCTGAGACCACACCATGACCAAGAACACCGAGCTCAACCACCTCCACGAAACCCTCTTCGAACAGGGTATAAAACTCCGCTGAACCATCGTCGGTAATACCTACGTAGATAGAGCCTTATCCCAAGGATCCAGCGACTTTTCGCGTCCCGGCCAGGAACTGGCCACCACATGGTGCTGGGGTCATATTTGGACGAGACCTGGACTTGAGCTGAAGCAACGAAACCTACTGAGTAACTGAGATAAACTTCCTCTACGGAATAATAACATGGTCAAAGTAGATTCAGACCTGGGTATGTTGATCGCGTTGAATCATACTCGTGGCGCTATCATCACGGCTTTACCGAGAAAGAAATTAGCCAGGCGGTTCTGCAGGCTACCGTTTACTGTGGAGGTCCTTCGGGGATTGAAGCTACGGATATTACGGAGAGGGCTATTAATGAGACGATTGCGAATGGGGAGTATAAGCGGGAATAGACTGTGTGTTGTTGGCTTTTGTGACTAGAATATTAGAGGATTTTAGTGCGTTTAGAATGATGGATGGCTTTGATTTGCTGATGATTAAGATGAAATAGAAAGGTTAGAGTAAAATACTAGAATTACAGGGCGCAGACTACTCCTTAGAAGCTGCATCAAAACAATACTCTTAATATTTAATCTTGTTAGTCAGGAATATTTTAGGTATCTGCTGAAAGGCACAAAGAATTATCAACTTCTTATTTCACTGTTTGTCTTTGAGTGGAGGTAGAATAAGATGTGCGAAAGTGAGTGTTGCCTCGAACAGGGTTTGAATGCTGAGGAGGTGTACCCAATCGAGCATGTATCAGACAATCATACATCTTGAAATCTGTCTGGGATGCGTAAATCGAGATGTGTATATCAGTCAACAGAACACCCAGATCATATCCTTCTTATAACATCATCAACGCAGCTAGAACCATCATATTGCCGCCTATATATTCCTTCCCACAATGGTAGACAGTAGAAAGAGATGTCATTCCATACCATCATAACCCTTCAGTTTCTCTGTTTCTTTTCCGTGATACCCTCCCATCCTTTCCATCTAGAGATTCCCGCAGGTGTGTCCCGAACCCTAGTCATAGTAGGAACATCACCCAGACAATTCCATGAGAAGGCATTCGTGTCCAATATGAACGGGCTGCTTCACAGCCCACGCAACGTGGGAAATCGGGAGAGCAATAACGGTGACAACAAGACGAATGCCACCTCCTTCTGCATACTCCTTCCAAGTTCATAAAAATTTCACCATGACAGTGATAGCCACAATATCCTCATCCACTGAGGCGTAGACACTCTCGGATGTTTAAATCATCCCACTTATTAATCGGGAGATTGTGTACTCAATGTACCAATTGAGGAAGACATGCCGCCTCAAGTAGACCTTATCATCACTCACAAAAGATATATGATGATCATGCACTAAAGCCCGTGCTCTCGGATGAAAATCTTAGCAGCACGCGTATCAGAAAAACTTGGAAACGCTGCCACTTCTTCCTCGTGTTCGATCCCTTCCGCAGTGTGTAGGGAAGCCAGCCGTTTTTTGCGATCTTTAATTATTGTTTGGTCAACTTCATGATCCGGTGATGAGTGGCTTATGCGATCGGTAATGTCTCTGACTGCATACACGCCGGGAAGTGTCAAGAGACTGTTTTCAGTTACCAGGGCTGACCACGCTTCATCTGGGATGAGGTCACCTGTGTCGAAGCGCACTTTGATAGCTTTATGTCTTTGAAGGTGCGTTATCCCCGTATCAGGTAGACGGACGATTTATGACGCATTGATATGGAGATTTCATGTCTCTTATATAATTGGTAAAAAGTCCGGTCTTTCACGAATCCACCAAGCATGGCATCCACTCTGAGCAATCTTCATAGACGTGGCCCATGGATTCTCAAAGCCAGCTTCACCGAAAGTATCAGGAGACGTTCGACAGAGGCAGAAGGTCTGATTTGTAGCGCCTTACTACCTGCGAGTGTGATATTTGCCTGTGGCTCTCGGTGGTATTCTTCGGGAGTTAGGAGATCAGCAAGGCAAGTCATTTGGCGCAAGGTGTTCACCAGGTGAACTGACCAGCCCGCCACTGATGTTTAGAGCGACATGTTGCGCAGATACTCAACCCCAAATATCCCATATGTCCCTGCATTTCTTTTGTAAAGCATCCAGGGAGACATATTGCGACAATGGATATTTTTGGAAGTGGCCGCTGGATGAAAAGTGCTCCAGTTGAGACAAGCTATCAGATGCTTTCTATATGTTTCCTCATCACTCCTTGACACCACCACCCATGGGGTGGAAGTAAGACTAGCTAGCGAGTAGGCTCTCCACACCAGAGCTCAGAGCGGGTATATCAACGGAATACTTCTTGAGTAAGGCCCATGCAAGAGAGGGCTGATCGAGGTAGAAGCCTAAATAGGCAATATATAGCTCGTCAGATCTCGAGCACACCTTCATCCACGTAAAAGTTGTAGTGCTGATCAAAGTCGAATGTAATGCGGCCAGAGACACAGCAATGGGACGTTGTGCCCGTGTTATCCGTAGTAGTTTGTTATAACACTGTTTGTTGGTCGAGGAATCTTAGAATGTCGCCGTGGCTCTCGATGAATGTAATAGCGTGTGGATAGACCTGTGGAACATGGGCATAGACATCAGACCGAGAGTGTGGCCTACGATGCTTGGATATCGCCATACATTTGCTGATACCATTCAACACGTTCGACTGTCAAATGGGTGTCACAGATAAACGCGAGGTCGATAGGTAGGTCCTTCAGAAAAACTGTGGCATTAAGGAGATTGGCGATGACTCCTAACCCCTTTCCGTTCAGCGATGCGATCGACAATGTTCGACTGGCTAATATTACTAAGGAAGAAAGCAGTCGACTCAGGGTCGTCTATCGTTCAAAGGTTGCTCAGCACACCGCAGAATCCGACGTGGGACTCCTGCTCGATTATAGGACAGGAGCTGATGCGTGGTATGGATCAGGTGTAGTGAGCTCTTGATATCGATGTTTATAGAAAGGCAAAGAGCCCGACCCATCGTATGGGTAGAATGTGACCACCCAGCGTTTTCCTGAAACTTAAGGTAGATGACAGTATGATATGAGTCGTCATAAATCCGGTAGTCGTCCATGGCATAATATTGCAGCCCGCTATGCTTGTGACTCTGCCGATAGATGATCATTTCTGCCGCATCCGAAGCATTTCAGATGGGAAAGTGATGGAAAGAACCATATCTAGCAAGAAAGTGGTGCTTGACCGGCATTCAGATCAGTGGAAATCCCAAGAGAGTCGGAAAGTCGCAGATGTTCCTGCATTTCTATGGAGGCTCCACCACAGGATAACCACAATTATAAATAGTGTGTTCCGACAATCACGACACACCAGGTAGACCTCCGTTATTGAGGTTGGATTGACAGGAGCAATTTCCAACAAGTCGACGAAATTAGCCTCAGAGCGTGAGTCGTATGAGCATGTCCGAATAGGCCTCAATGGGTTAGGCGCCAGCCGGATCATCGTGTCGATATCTATAGAGTCGAAGACGGCCGACCATATCTCTTAGACGCTAGCGTAGTAACCTTTTCTAGCGACCTTGCGGATGTCGACCGATGGAGTTCTGCTCGACTTGGCAGTAGATATCGGTCTTTCCGGAGCTGCCGTGACTGCAGAATTTTGCAGTATATATATAAATCGATTGACACTTGTCTGCCTTTCGAGAAAGTTTTTTTCTGCCAATATTCGAGCTGCTGCGCCAACGCGGCTAGCATAATATAACCGGAGGCTGTAAATAAGTGGTAAGAGTAGTAGGGCGAGAGTGTCGTTCAACCCGCTCAATCTGAGCCTACCCCTGGTTGCCATCAACATCTGAAGCAATTTGTTGAAGGCGTACGAAGGATTCTCACTAAGAGAACACTGATGTTCATGACCATCCCAGGCGCCGCGGAAGAAACCGGACGCGATGATGCATTTAGCAAAAGGACCTTTGCTTTCACGGCAGCAAGAACATACGGCAAAACCAATATGTTCAAATCCACGCGCTTGGAGAAGCGCAGTTTGACGTGTCTGATCGTTCGCAACGTCAGAAGAAACGACGATCTCTCCGAAATGATACGCCAAGTAAGACGGCGGACGGAAGCAGTAACATCGCAATAGTGTTTGACAGCGAAGTCCAGAAGATTGGGAAGAAGTTGGTATTCCGAGTCCAAGTCCCAGGGGCATCGACAACACCGTCACTAACGTGAACATTGCCCTTGTCATTGCTGTCGCTCAGATATTAACCCCTAAATGTCATGAAGATTGGTGTGCCTGAGGGACTTCGCTGGAAGTGACAGAAGAAAGGGTATTATCAGTGCGATTGTCCCCATATAGATAGCTAGCCATCCATCATCTTTCTTCACCACTCATAGTGTTGCCTAGGAATGAGGCACTTGTTGGCTCGGTGTATCTCGACGTGCTGAGCAGGACGTAGCGCATGGTCTGTCACCACAACCATCGGATAAGAGGAGTGGAGAAATAGTTCATGTCCAGCGTCTCCCAGATGTAGCCATGTATTTCCCGAACAGATTGAGGGTGGTGAGTCTGACCTCTCGGATGGATGAGTGGAAAGAGTAAGGCGTGCCCAACACGAGATAATGGTGTGAAGTAGCCCGCAGCCATTTCAGATATTGGAGCTTGTCAATGTTTAACTCAACCATCGAGTTCGCCACAATCCTCAGCGCAATTTATGATGACGCTATTTACCTTTCATCAAAGTCAGGTGCTTGTAGATTCGTCAAAGAACCCCAAAGCTGGCAAACTTTCGTCGTCAGTTTGACCTTATAGACCAGATTTTACTCTGAGGCATAATCCAGGCCACTGTTTCCCAGCAGGTATACGCGGGAAAGACATGTCCTTACTTCAACGTCTCGAGGACGTCGGCAGTAAGCTATAATGTGAGGTATTTCTTGGACTCTTAGTTCCTCGTCGCAGTCGTACTTCTGTCGACGGTTATTTTCCATGGTGGTTGTTGAACTGGTCTGATAATGTTGAACTCCTTGCGGTCTCCTTGTACCGAAATGGATACAGATAGGCTTTTCCGGGGCCTCAGAGCCCACCAATGCTGTTGGATGGTTTGGACTGTCGAGAAGACTGGACGTATCCTTTCAGAATATAATCACTGACTGCCCATGGATGTGGAAAAGCTCATTGTCGTTCTTTCATCGGACGTTAGGTAATGGCTCGTAGATTCGGTATTATCTTCACATTGTGTTCTGGAACCAAGCACCCATGTCTGCCTCCTTGCCGGCCCATGCAAGTCTCAGAACTCTGGGACTCGTTTTATGTTTGGTCAACCATCCATTTGCTTTTAGGATTGCTCACATGATCTTCTGACTGTGCGTCATGTCACTCCCGAGCACGCCATGTACTCAGCGTGTTCAGGTACCTGTGCACTTGCTGAGCTGAGCATGTTGGGTTTTGTACCGACAGCCCCGCTGGCAGATGGCAAATAGCCTGAACCCATCAGGCTTAAAAGCCGACCGACAGAAACCATATTGTCTCGTCTGCGTCATTATAAGAGTCTCCTGACTGCTTCTTCATCTCCTTGATCGATGATGATCAGGATTCCAATGGGGATAAATACATGTTAGCTGGATGACACCTGCGTGTGTATGTCTTTGAAAGAGTATGGAACTATATGAATGCTCTCCGGAACTGTCTGAAGGGTGTCATTATACCGGAAGGCTTTCTTTTTGGCCCATGTTCGTGTCCATGAGCGAAGGCGACCGAGAATGGAGTTGGTGTACGTATGGAAGATATTCGCAGAGGAGGACTCCAGTCACACTGCTCGAGCTGTTGTTGAGTTATTATCAGCAGCTCATCGCTAAAACGTGCGGCACTTGCGGACCAGTAGAATGCATTGTTCCCAGGACCTTGAGGCTGTCTGCAGTCCGGGATAGGGTGGGGAATTGTGAAAATGGAGAAATCCTGTCCATCACCAGTGTGGAATAGTAATTGTCCGAGGTCCAAGATATGAAGCCCACTTCGTGGGGTATTCGTGCAACTTCGTCCGATGACATTCTCTAGAATAATCAATTGCCCCTGGAATCTAGTTGACCGAATTAGTATCCGATGTCTCGCACCACGTAGAAATGCTGGCTGACGACTCACCTGAGAAGGATCTCCGTGAGGGATGTCCTAAAGTCCATCCAAGTACCATCCATTCTCGCCGTTATTGAAAGACCGTCTCGTAGTTTCTCTACCTTCTGGTCCCGTATCTCTGAAGCATGAGATGGAGAGGATGCTTCAGCTCATAGCCATTTCCTGGAAGTGGATCAGCCAAATGTTTGGACTGCACCAGATGTCATCCATTATCCGCACCCTAGACACATTCATCGTCGTTGTTGACAGACCCGGTCCGGCTTTCACATCCTTCACAGCCGATTTCCTGGGATGAAGGATGATCTCGATGTGCCGAATAGTTCTGCTTGGACGCCGACCGTGAAGCGTTCACACTCTCGCCTGTTCTGCAAGTACGGTGCACACCAAAATAGCACTTGAACCAACAAGATCTCTTGTTTATTATAAGGGATTGTCGAGGTATCTGGTGAGGTGTGTCTTGAAATATTCCCGCATGTTTTCTGGCAAATGATCCCCTCGAGGGATCGCGGTGTCCTCGATCACTAGTCGGAGCTCAGCAGCGAAACTAGGAGGATTGACGTTCGCAGTAAGGGAATTTGGAGCATTCCCCATCTTCTGCGGCCAAATCTCCTATCGAAATCTTGTACGCAACGTTCTTCATAAACATTTGCACCCCGTCGCGATGAGGATTTAGCTTTGGAACCCCAGGTGCAGGTTATCAACGCAGTGAGGCTGGCGACCGGCATAAAGGGAATTGAGCCACTGGTAGATGAGACGAATTCACCAGTCTTCAAGATCACATTGCAGGCTGAATGTCGACGATAAGATTGAGGCCTCTGCATCGCACCATCTTCAGGGACATGCGCCGCTCGCCCATCAATAAGACCATGCATAACCTCAACCACACGCAAGGGATAGACTGCCTCGTTGCCTGTAGGATGGATTACTAGAGTTTCACGACCTGGAGGTTTTGTTCGGCGATGTATCGGCACATCATACCCACGCGGTCGTCAGACGACGTGGGTCAGAAAGGGAACGCAGGACGATGCGCTCATGTCTCTACTGGAAAGACCGTCGCTCTCGTTTGTATGGGTCAAGCAGTAGAGACTCAAACAAACCACCTGTTATTCTGGTTCCGAAGTGAGAGGTGAGGATTGATGTAAATACATCGTCCCGGCAGCTAAAGCGTCCAGTGCAAGGTCCCATTTCAACTTTTCGGGGTAATTTCGAAGAATGGCCTGAGAGGCAGAAGTCGTGATTGGCCGATTGCAAATGTGTGTCATACAGGAGTAAGGCCGTGGACACAACGGTATCGTCGGCCCATGGTCAGATATATTGAAGCAAATATACCGCTATAGTGGTTTCGGAGAAGATCTCTTGTTGCTTCGATCCAGGCAATGGTGCGGCCGAAGCTGTGCTGTTTTCTCCATCCTTGTTGGCCAAATCCTCGGGAGTGATAGACCGCACCACGATCCAAGCCACAAGCTTCCATTCAGTTTTATAGACGTTCGAGATAGAGGGAAAAGGATATAGAAATGAAAAAAATAAAAACATACAACAGAAGGGATTCGCTGGTGGTCACCCACCCAACTACTAACCTCCCGGCGTGTGGCTTAAGTACGGCTGAGCGGACGGGAAGCCCTGTTTTCCACACCCTGTGGTCGTATGTGCTTGATTGCTCTTGCGACAAGTTTACATCGTGTGGAGTTGAATGACCGGTCGCTGGATGATTGGTGACTGCGATCCCAAACGGATCTCTCAAGAGTTGGTGATAGTATATGGAAGGATTCCGACATGATTGATAAGATACGGGAATATCGCAGTGATACATCCAACGCTCCTAGAATTTTTCATCATATTTGGATGCGGTCACACCTCGCCAATACGATAAGGCGGGAACGGTAATGCTTTATACCCATGTGCAATCTGTTGCCTCGAGTATATTGAGCCGAACGTAATGCCAACTCGAAACCTGGCTGCCGAATAGACTTTCTATACTTTGCGGCGTAAGCCGGTACCCGGTCCATTTGTAAAGATAGGAGGTGGCAGCTCCAGATATCTCATTTTGGTATTTCACTGCCGCGTGGTACCCTTCCCTCAATATCGCGACCATATTATATATGCTTCGATGATTATCGGGCGTGATACAGTAGGCGCAATGTCTCTCACTGGTGCAGAGAAATTGGTGTGAACGAATGCTTTCTTGGTCTGCTGGATAGTGGAAACCGAGACGTGGATAATCTTCCTCAGATGTGCCATGGACCGAGGCGCTTGGATCTGATCCCTCATCAGAAACTGTTCTTTCGTCTGGGGGTCGCACATAGCCTCCGCTTTGCGGCGCCTGGCCTTTCAAAGATATCAAAATAGTCGATTTCGAAAGAAAAAACATGTTGCCAAGTACATGTTAGCTAGCGAACCACACCATGCTGAGAGTCAGCTTAATCGCATCAAGGTCGCAAGCCGCTTCGGAGCAAGTAGCGCTTGACCCCTTCAAGCCGGCCTCTGCGCCGAGGAAGATGACCCCAGATTTCGAAAATGAAAGCCAGAACTAGAACCCATTACACCTCAGGTGAGGGATGAGCTGACGGGCATCCATAGTGCTGGATAAAGTAGTATCGGATGGTTCTTCCTTCTTGATAAGCAGGAAGCAGATTGTCTGTAGGAACACTGCATAGTCCAATGTCGGACTGTGCTACGAATATTCCAGACCCGGACTTCGTGTGTGTCACGGATTTGCGGATGGCTGTGGCTTGATCACTTCCTGGAGGCATTCGATTAGCCCAATCCAAATCTCCCACCAGAGCATGGTACACACCGATTATGTCATGGATGGAAAATCCCGCTTTATAGTGCATGTGCATATACCTTGTTTTCGACCATACTAATCGCGTCTTCGTATGTGTTCATGTTCGCGGCGTTCGGGTGGATTCTTGGGAATCTTTGATCCAACACCGAAAGATTCTGATCGACGCTTGGAAGACGGCACGTATCCCTTGGGATAAGGGGCAAAAGCCAATGCGTCCGGTTGATGGTACCTACAATTGGTACCGGGGAGAAACATTTGCTTAGACCCATCATTGCTGCAGTAGTGTATATGTAGTAGGGGCCTTTGTGTCGACGTCCATGGCACACATACCATTGCTTTGGGCGAATAGGAAACTCAAGTGCGAATGTGGGTCTGACTTCTCGTTCATTGGTAAAAGCGATTGGTTTCTCTTGTGCACGGCATATGATGAGCCAAACCATCAAGTAAGTAAATGACCCCATTGTGTTCCAGGAATTCGATCGCGGATGAAACCAAGCTGATCAGCGCCCTGTCTGTTGGTCTGCGTAGCTCTGTGGGTAGACCATGTATTGTGACACGTTGGCTCTTGCTTCCTCAATCTCCTGTAGGGTAACTTGCCGACCGCATAGGATGAGCAGCGCTTCCTCCATCTGCATCAAGGAATATGCGATCGAGGTGGTAATCGGAAATATGAAGTCAAGTCCCGCTCGTGGAAGGGACATGAAGCATGGCTGGGGAGGGTGTAACCGAGTTGCGTGGCCGTAGTTGTCAATGAAATAGTTGAGGCCGGAGCCTTCTCGAGTGCTTCCTTCGACCTTTCTTTCGCTCTGTGACACAAGGCCAACCCCATGGGACTCAAAGATGTGGCCATATATTTGGCTTCGGATCTCTGGTGGGGGTATGTATATAAGATATTATTTATTGTTCGATAGTGGTGCGCTCATCGTCCAAGACCATTGAGCCTTCGGAAATTTATATCGTTGGTTCGGATTTCTTTATACTGTCCATGATGAAATGTCGACGGGACGATAGATCAGATCGTCAACTGGTTTTTGTTCTTGGTCTTGTCCGCATGGGAATGGATACCAAGATTGTTGCAGTATGGCTGTTTCGATCGACGGATAGAAGAACGCATAGATGTAGACTGCTGGATCTGCAGTTTATAATTGACTTGCAAGACCCGACATTGAGATGTTTAGTGTATCAGGCATATTATATCAGACATAGTAGTGGCCGGTAACGATCCGGGGAACACATGAGCTGGTTCAATTGCTCGAACCGGTGGCCAAAGCCGATAACACAGTCACAGAAAGGTAGGAAGTATCTAGGTCCGGGAGGTACTTCAAAAGCGATACTGTGTAGTAGTGGCCCCAAGCCGATTCGTAGTCCTCAGTCTGACTGGATCTTATCCTTCGAGGTTGCCGAGAAAGGAGCAACATGACGGTTTGTTTTCGGACCGCAGGACTGGCAATGCGTCACCTAATTCTATCCGAGCAACGCGTGATGCTTGGTCGATGCTTGGAAGATGCCACAGATATTCTCGAATGAAGCGTTAGGCAATAACAGACAGTCATACCACAGGTGGTTGGGTTCGCTCAGTTTCAACTATCAGAACGAGGTTTGGTAGCAGAAAAGCCGGCCGACCCAGCACAGTGGCTTAATGGTGCTGACGATGCTCTAGCGAGGCAGCCAGATTGACTAAATCGATGCCTTCAGTCCTGCCATGTAGACCTGGCTCGGGTGATCCGCAATCTTTGGCCGATAGCTCAGTGATAACCAGCGTGTATGATTGCCTGACGTCTGATAGCGTAGAACATGCTGGATGATTCTGGAAGCTATGAATCATGCCTTGTTTAGAATGGACTTTGCAATAAATGCAGATTGTTTGCATATGCTCTTGCCAAGTCGGTGAGCCATCGGCAGCAACAGCGAGACAACAACTTGTCGTCTCTGGCAAGCTGAATACCGAAGCGGTTTCCGTAACAAGATTTATCTGAATTTCTGAGTTGACCGGATGGCCACCTTAGAGGGAGGCAGCATTGCGAATCTTGCTCAGCATTCTGAGCAATGTATAGCAGATCTCCAAGTTCTGTCGGCGTTGTATGCCGCTTCTTCTGCCCTGACTTGTGCTGACTGGAGAGTAATATCATCAGAAATTGATCACTCATGAGACTTTCGTGAATAGATGCTTACCTGTCCAACTGTTCAGTTGACCATGACATTGAGCCACGTCACGATTATATTGTGACCTCTCCTGAGTATAGGAACCGGAAAAGCCATGTGACGATCCTCTGCTCGATCGTAGTATAGAAGGACACTCATCAGGGTAACAGATCCTGTTCGACTCTGCGTGGCACGCGACTAGCTGAGAGATAATCGTCAACACGAAGCACGAAGCAAGATGCAGTAGCTTGTTTCTGGGTGAGAATCATACTGTATGGTCCAGATCTATGTGTGTTCGGCTCAAAAGCAGCCCCATCAGGGGGAACAATAGCCAGAGAAGCAAAGAGGAAGAAGTGATAGAGAGATGGAACGAGACAGCGTGTGAAAATATCAACAACACGCAGGTCAAATCTGAACCAGCAACACGTATTAAAGCGGGTCCTGTTCAAAGTAGTTGCTGCGACAGCCCGCCGTGTGAACAGGCAAAACACTCAGATATGGTCAAGCGTGTGAGTCTTTTGTGAGAGAGGCAAGAAGCATGACCTGGTGGTGTACATATGCAGCGATGAAGAGGTAAGCTGCCTTGCGCCTTTAGCCATGATATATAAAGTGATAATTGTTAAGAGAAGAAGCATACTTTGGGAGGTGTCATGATGCCCTCCATGTCCCATCGACCTAAGGTGTTGTTTCTTGCTTGTGCTTCTGACTATCCGAGGGTGGACTCAAGAGTATATATAAGAAGAATTATAAGGAAGTTGAGCTGCTTGAGAGAGATAGAGGAGGGAGAGAGAAAGGAAGGGAGGGAGGTAGAATGAGAGAAATTTATACCCAGACAAGAAGCCCTCTTCAATGACCAGGCGGTCACTGAATATAGCTTCGTGAATCAGCACATGCGAATTTGTCAGATACGTTACTGAGATATCTACGTGACTGGGGTATCCGTGAAGTAGGCTTAAGAACCGTCACTATAAATGCGTCACTAAAGACGGGATGTTCCGCCAGATTCACGAAAAAGCACGAATTCATCTAGGATACGTCACCACGAAAAGCCACGTGAGCACAAGTCACAGAATCGATAGAGGATGTCAAATCAGTTCCAATCATTCTTTCCATTTGGCCCATGGCCGATTGGTTCAAGAGATGTATATCGCGATACTGAGGATAGATCTATATTCTGCCTTTTCGACCCTGAAACTTGGAAGATGCCAAGTACACTTTACAATAGTCCTCAATACGGACAATCGGACATATAACCAGGATAATATTATTTATTTACAGGCTTGGATGGCCCTACAGGCCTCATATGGACTATCAAGGTGCGACATGGAAATCGCTGGTTTCTCAAGAAACCTGCGTCGATACTGCAGACATCGACCGGTAATCAGGACCCGACCTCGACACGATTTATCGAGTGCGTAACGAAAGAACTGCGAGTTGGCCCAAGCTCCAGGAGTTTTCTGGAACATCGTATTGACATCTCTGACATAGCCTAAGCAATCCGCACAGAATGCCACATTTTCACCGGAGCCTGTCCAGGACTTAGATAGTGCGGCTAACTCGTCATTAGCGTACTGGTTGGACGATGAGAAAACGAACATACCCCAGCTCAATATAAATATGCCGACAGCCACCAGGGCGACTGGAATTAAACGGACCCTCATTGTGAGGCACGGACAGGCGTGGATCCGGAAAATTGAAAAGGAGGAGCGATGGATGTCGCTGCCTGGTGGCCGGCACTTGTGCCTGAGGGTCAGGGGGAGTTCTAACCGCTTTGGGCTAGTCCATCGCTGGTCCAGGCTATGGCCATGGATGCAGTTTGTGAGGAGACAAATTGAAGGGCCAAGAGACAAGGCAATATAGCATCACTCAGGAAGGCTACCGCTGGAGCAAAACTGCCTTGGCCAGTCTAACCAGTGTGCAAGCCGTGACGGTAGGGCAGCAGCTACTGCAGACAGCAACTCCTGGGCGCGGTCTTCTACGAACCAGTACCCACGAAACAGGTATAACTGGGCACAATATTGCGCCAACAGAATAAGACCGATCGGGCTCTTGTCCAGCAGAAAGCCTACGAATTCATCCCGCACGCTAATCGGCCACATGTAGATGATGCCACATTGGGCAGGCTTCTCACAAACCTGCAAACGCCAAAATGCCTTTTCCAGACACGCAGTGGCCTGCTGATAGATGAGTCTCTCCTGCTCACTAAGAGGTTCTGATGCGATTAATTGTCTGATTGCATCTAATTGATCGCCCAATCCTGGGAAGTGCAGAGACTGGACATGGTCCCTGTTTGTCGGTTAGCATGCGCCAGATTACAGTATGCGGCAGAGCTTACTCGGGTGGGCCAGGGTCGGATCGAAAGTCTTTCAGAAATAACGGCGCCAGAGGACCGTTTTCAACGTGGGACATAAATGGTTGAAGGGTCATGATTCCTCTGCACAGGTTGAAAAGGCGGATTATACTTTCCAAGGGGCGGCTATCACCTAGATCGGTCGGAGCTCCACAAGTCCATACCATGATCAGACTTGAGAAGCAGAAGAGTGCCTCGCAATTCTGTTTGGTTGGGTTTTGTAGGATAATGCGAAATGTTTGCAGGCCCAGCGCCATGTGGAAGTTGGAGCTGTTCAGATAGTGGCTGTATCGTTCGGGTCTAGTGTATGCCAAGTGCAGGGCCGACAACGACAAGATGCCATGCATCAGGAACTCATACGAATAGGCAATCTTCGGCACTTCGATCTGCCAGACATCACGGATCACCTCCCGATCAGACAGAGTCTTTGAGGCATAGATGCAATAATGGTGCATCAATTCGGGGTCCTGCGCGCCCCACTCGCGGAGAAAAGCAGATGCATCGGCGACTTGATGCTGAAAGGCGGCAATGGCATCGTCGGTTCGTGATGAAACGGTCGGCGACTCGGACAATTTGCCCGACTGCGTACTGGGATACGGCTCGGGTTTGGGTGGGCGACGTTCAAACGTGCACGTCAGATGTCGTTTCACGCAGTTGGCACATGGCTGAGCTTCATCGCACTGTGGGGATCAGCGGAAATTCCAGCCTGGGGAGCGGAGAACGCACTTTGACTCGGCGAGATTTGCACTGGTCGCATCCGTTCCGCGACTTCGTATGGGCTCGTCGCGGAGGCATATCGAATGAAGTCTAGACTAGATTGACTTCCACACAATCCCGAGAGGAGTGGTATAAGCATCGGAAGTTACTGCGAGGAACAGGAAATATACGACAGACGAGAGCGGAAGCGAGAACGAGAACGAGGAACGCGTGCCGGCGATGAAGTTTTCGATCGAGTGGAGAGGCGGTGGA